ATGTTACGGCGCGTGATTAGTGGACTAACAGATGACGAGATTGACATCCTGAGCTGTAAACCGACAGATATTGGTACGCACAGCCTGCGTAAGGGTAGCAGTTCATATGCACTTGGGCAGGTGAACGGACCCACTCCAGTCTCTGTATACCTACGAATGGGCCAAAGTTTAGGAAAACTTAAGGACCGGTATATTCATTTTGGTGAAGGAGCGGATCAGTTGTGTGGCAGAATGATCGCTGGACTTCCATTCAATTCCGAACGGTTCGCTGTACTGCCGCCACACTTTCCCCCGACAGTCACAGATCAAATGACAAACGAGTACTGGAATGATCTCGTAAGTGGCTTTGCTAATTATTCACGTGGTATCAGATCTGCATTTCCATTTTTCCTCGCTTCAATAGTGTATCACGAGCAATTTCTACGTGACACACTGAGTCCAGGACATCCGATTTTCAAAGCAAGAGTTTTCTCGTCAAACGAATTATTAAACCTTCAACGAGCGTCAGTCGTGTTGTCGTTAGGCACATCTCCAGTTTGTGGAATTAAAGCAACGGACATACCTGCCCATCTTGCTGTTGCAAAGGAGGTGAAAGACCTGCGTGAAGAGGTGTCCAAGCTCAACAATGAGCTTGTATTGCTCAGACAGGATATGAACACTAAACTACCTGATAATGTCGCGGACAAGGTTGTTGCCGACCTGATGCAGAAATTTGTTGTCAACGGGGTCGCTCCTGTGTCTCTCCAGGATCTAGCAAACCTTCGAGTTGATCTTGCAGCAGAGATTCACAGAGCCATCGGCACGATTCAAGTACCACAGGGTATTGCGACGCAGCCACCACGTGAGGTGCTGACGTCGGCTTGGCAGCGCTGGGAATGGGGTGACGGGAAGCTCGCACATGCTGTGCCGAAGGGGTGGGAATTTCCTGCCCACACGAGTGTGAAGCAGCTTTGGAACTTGTGGTTTTTTGGCAATAAGGATAGTGGTATCAGACCATATAAATTGCTCAGCAAGCAGCACGATATCAAGCGATCTCATCAGATGCGTCACTCGCGTGCTCGTAAAGTTATGGAGTACATCGTGCAGCTTACAAAACCTCCTGGCGCACTACCAGGAGAAGTGACGGACATCTCGTCGTTGCAACTCGCAGCAGCAGATAAAGTCTTCGGCGTTGTCTTCCATACGCTGCTCTCACAGTTATATTGTAATATGCCAAAACGACCAGAAGAGCTCACTTACGGCACCATTTATAATCGATTGTGCAAGCACTTACAAACGCAACAACGCGAGCTAGTTCAGCAACAAACTAACTGACATCCATATGATCTGATAACTTGTCATTTCGACCAATCCTCTTGCGTGATAGAATGTGATCTGATTCCTATCACACTTGCAGTCATTATATACATCATGTGACAACATTCGAGGGACGCACGCTTTCCTTGTATCTTGTGAAAGCTAGAATTGCAAACGCCTTCTCATCATTTTCCACGTTGGATCTAACTACCATGTCAGTAAACTTCTCCAAGGACATTTTATCGTCATAGTCTGGGAAAAGTTTTTTCAGGTAAGGCTCCTCATCCTTCACTTCCTTGATAATTTTAGTCCTCGAATTGAACGACTGCGCGTTTTTGAATTTCTTTGCCGTTTCAGTAGCTTTCCCCCAAGCAGAAAGTTTTTCACTAGCTTGCTCCAATGATGCCTTCATCCGTAAAAACATCCTCTCCTCTTCGTCGACGCCATGGTCTTTCTTCTGCGCCCTCAGGATTCGAGGGTTGTTTCCCATAATTTCATGATCGTTGACGGGGTCCACTCTACTTGTCTTGGAAAGCGTTGCACCCCTAACTTCTAGGGCAAGAGTAGCTGCCACCACGAGCAGAATGTAGCTTAGGCGCATGATTATCTTGGTTCGGCGGCGCAGCAGCTTGATTGGTACAACTTGGGCGGAAGTTGAGAAGTGAAGGGTTAACCGGTTGCACAGTGCAGCTTGCACTCTATAATACTAGCAGTAGCCGCTTCTTTTCTCGCGCAATTTTTGTGGTTGCAGACCTCAAGCCTTTAGTCAAGGATAACATTTGGGATCGACATCGAAGACACAACTCTACGACTGTGAATTATTACTTCGAAGTGCATTTATTTTCATCGGGTCAATCGCATGCCCGGAAGTTGTTACAGGTAACAATTTCAAGGTAACATTACCTTGCTTGATCAGTATGGTACTCATCAACAAAGTTCTGTGTACTAGTGTTTTTTCTGGGATAGTGTGGGGGTATTGCTCAGACGACTCGCCGGCGGCAAGGACGACACCGCGCTGACGATCGACACCACCAGCGCTTACCGACATCCGAGGAGGCCCCGTCATACTGCACGTTCGTAAACAAGCGCCGTGTAAACTGCGGAGAAGCACCGATGGTTGGTGGTGCTGCGAAGCCGGAGGGTGCTGCCGCAGGGCACACACCCTTGCATGCCAGAGTAGGAGTAGGAACAGGAGTAACTATTGCATCTATAATGGAGCTCACTTCGCAATCTACTTTGCAGCGCGCAAAACGTCATAGATAGCAGTAGGAAGTGCTGCAGAGCAGCTTGCAGGAAATTAATCGTTATTCTTCGATTTTGTCTTGAAATTTGTATTCATAAACGTCCGTCACGCTTTCACGTCCTTACACGTCTATCCTACCCCCTCGTTTTTGTACCAGTGCGCAATATTTTGGCAGTTTTACAGTTTTTGTTAACATGCCACCCTCGAAATTTCAGAGCTTCTTAGTGCGCAGCAGGACTACTACCCGCGCCATTGCTCAGTTGAAGACATGCGTGAGCGTGCTGCTATAGAAGAACTGGCGCGTGAAGCAGCACGAGAGCCGCTTGAACCGCGGGCGGCTTGGCAAACGCTGGCTGTACCCAGAGCTCGTTACGGACATCATCATCTCGCTGGAATTTATTCTGCTGCTTTATCCAGAAAGTTGGAAACGTTTTAGAAACGTTTCCATCCGCGTGGGCTCCATTAGACTAAGCAACAAATATTTTACTTTACACCTTGATACTCCAAAATATATTTATCCTTTTCGTGCAATTCTCCATGCGATTTGATCGGGTGAACAACTGAGGAGAGCTTTCAACGTTCTTGCCAATAACGCTTCCGTGACCCAATGCTATCCCCCCCCCCCCCCCCTCAGCCCTAGTGAAATTTCAATTAATGTGCTGTTTATTCCGATGGCGCTATCGCCGGAATGCGCTAGTTTCTATAATTTCACTGCGCTGTCTTTCACTACCTCTTTCAAACTGATACGTTTTGTCTTTACTGGTACCGTCGAGTGAAAACATACTTGCATGAAGGGGACCAAACGAATGCATACAGACACGATATAAAACTCACCCATTTCTAAAGCGACAAAACAATGGATTGAAAGTTTTCTTGAAGCGGCGATGCAACTGCTCCACATCCGCCAAAGTCCCTATAAACACAGTCGCCATGAGTTCGAGCCCGAAGCAAAAAACTGAGAGGGAACACGTTCTCACATCGTGCATAGTCTCTCGTCGCGCCGTAGCTCCACGTCCACATCAAAGTCCTTAAGTTCCATGTCGTTCTCCGTCTCGGCGAAATTGTACGACCCCATCGGCACACCGACCGAAGTTGTACGCACTGCCCTTGTTTTTGTCGAAGTAGAGCGTCAATACCTCCTCTTGTTTATCTTTCCGTAGTTTATGGAACTGCAGTGCTGCAGCTTCCGTGAATCCGCCGCCAAAGCCCATGATCTCCTGATACTTGGTGTCCACGTCGATCGCGATGAATGAGTCCGTGGTTTTCTCACCCCCGTACTTCCACTTGAGCCCCTTGATCGGTTCCACCATTTTTGGTCACGTCTTGTCGACGTACGAGCGCTCTGGAAACACTTGACGTCTATTTTGTTACTCAACGACAACGAATTTCGATTGCGTAATAATATAAGCTTGGATGGCATTCAGACGAAAAATAATTCATTAAAATTTAATGTTTTTTTCGTCTGAATGCCATCCTAGCCAATCAGCATGCGTACCGACGAGTTTTTGTAACTATGATTTATAACATAGTCTGATTTTTTTAAAAAAATTTCTGCAAACGTCATAAAGCACTTTTTCTAAAAAAAAGTTCTTTCTAGCCCACCATAATAAAAAAAGATCAAAAGTGTGCCAAAACCCATGCGCACTTTTTCTATACAAAGTACTTTGTTTGGTGTCTAAGTCAAGATTGAACTTGGATGGCATTCAGACGATAAAAACCTTTTAAAATTTTAATGGGTTCTTTTCGTCTGAATGCCATCCTGGCCAATCAGATCTCTTTATGAACCTCGATATTGTGACTCCTGATTAGAATTAAATTCTACTTAGGAAGTTTGGTATTTATGTTTCAAACACAATAATACGTACATACACAACATAAAATACCCCAGAACAGTCACGTTCCAGAACCTTCGTCTCCATCAAGGGCATCACGTGCATACTTGCCTTTACCACTCAGGATGAACGTCGCGCCACCGGGTATCGCTCAGTTCGGACTCGTCATCGCTGGTCGCCCTGTCATCACTGACTTCAGGTGCGTGGATCTGCTCAGCAATCAAGTTACCGCAACATTGCAATAATCATCTGATCCCAATCATCTTCTTAACCCTTTTTGTTTATAGGGAGATCGGGCCTGCGCACTACGTGGTGGACATATTGGAGCCAACACAAGTAACGGATCTCACGTTCTTCCTATTGCCGGGCTCGCCCGTGCCTCTAGGTTTTGGAGGTGAGAAGATGTAGCCATGTGGTTAATTAGCTGATAAACTAACACCTGAAATCTGCTTCGACGATAGCCATACTATACTTCGCTGTGCCAGCGCTACAGAACTGGCAGCTACTGGGGACAGTGTTCGCTGAGAAGCCCAGCGCCATTTTCCGGACATCGTGGCCCACGCATCCGGACGTTGTGGGTCAGCCCGTACTGCAGCTTGGCGTGTCTATCGAAAGTCTAGACAATGTCAAGAATCTGGGCATCGAGGCCAGTGGATTGGAGGAGCGCAAGGCGTTTGCACTCAAGATCGCGCAGGATTTATTTAACTACCTCAGCTCCTTCTCCAGTAGTAACAGCCAGAGTTACATGACGATCCCCACGAATCTGCTGGACAAGTGGATGGAGAGATTCGAGGCCAAATACCGACGAGACCCCAATTTTATGATGAAGAATTAGTAGAAGTTAGAACTGTAGTGGTAAGTTACGTTGACGGACGGTGGATGGGCGTGTTAATGATTAACAGTGGATATTTTTTTGCTAGAAAAATAAATATGAACACCAATCTATCGTGGATCAAGTCTGTGCTGGATATACACGAGGTTTTACACAATATTCGAAGCAAGTTGTGGCGCGGGAGCACACTGGATAATTTATGGTGAAACTAATACGCTCACGAACGCACTTTACGCTACGTCATGTATCGATTGCGAACGATGAACGTTGGCTATGACACCTGGGTGTCTCCATTTATCGTTATTGACATCTACAGTACTAGACAAACACTTGACATTCTACACTTACTCCGATTATTTCGCGTCATCGTTTACGACGGTTGAGTTGGCTGGATGTGGACAACCAAAATGCGTTTCCATCCTCTCTTTCCATTTCGCGTCGATAAACTTCTGCTCGCCGCGGTTAATTGCGTTCACGATGGTCCTGCAACGAGGCTCCTGAACACCCCAAAGAGCCTTGAATTCATCTGAGTAGTCGATGATACCACCGAGACATTGGTCGTGGAACATGCAGACTTGACGTTCCAGCTCTGCAATAGTCTCGATCGATTCTCCTCCATGATACGTCATCGTCTCATTGTACCAATTCATCACGCGCTTCTCGGACCGAGTCAACTTTACAGCGATCACCACGGGAACGCTATGATTTGAACTACTTGAGGCTGGTCGAATGGCCTCCTTCTTACTTGTGGTACCTGTCCGGCAACTCGAAAGTCGCCGTCTTACTCGCGTCTCCTTCGGAAAAACTCGACCGAAAAACCAATCGAAGAAGTGACTTCTACCGGCTTCTGGCCTCTCCACAATGCGATCACTTAACATCGACCATGAGTCACTAGAGATCGTCGTAGCTTCTGGAGCACGCGATGTGTGATCTTTAACCGCCATGCCACCACAAGTATTGTACATCATGGCGAGGAGACCGTTGATCTCGTACGTGTAGCTACTGGCGCCTAGATCGCTACCGTCCATCAAGTCAGCGAATCGGTTAGGCACTCCTTTGAAGTACCGACCGATAAGCGGATCTTTACTCGCTTCAATCGGGTTCGAGCCATTCTCGCCGGTTCTCATTGTGACGATGTCGGTCGGTTTGAACGGTGGACCAGTAGGGTTCTTCTCTACTCGTCGCTTGCAAGATGCCCACGCTACTGGGTCCGCTGCCTTCTCCTCGAATGTCATGCGTCGTGTGCCAACGCGGCACTTGTGGAAGATCGTCAACAGTGCGTCTAGCATGGCATGATGCGACCAGAAGATCGGATCTGCAGGAGACTGGAACTTGGCCATTGTGCTGCCTAATGTTGCGTGGATATCGGCGTGGCATCCTCGTTCAACAGTGCGAGAAACCTTCTCAATGTTTGACCCATTAAAGACCTGACCGATGACTGAAGCGTAGCTGATACTAGCCGGGACTTTCGCAGAACCCCATTGGCCTCGAGGTAAACAACCAGCACAAGCTGCACCTGTCTTTGATGAAGACTGACAGAAATGGTTCAGTGGGGCCTCAGAGACGCAAGTTCCAGTGATATTCTTGCCGTTGATGACCACGGTTTGCTGCGGGTTGCCTGTGAATCCACCCAGTTCTTTCATGATAGGAGAACAGTCTCCAAGACTCGTACACTCTCCAGTAAGAGCTTTGTTATTGGTCTCCATCCAATTAAAGTACGGGATCGTCACGCACGCGTACTCGGGGCCTTGACCACGCAACATGTTCTCGAATATCACCAGGAAAAGCCGATGCCAGTAGATGAACATACATTGCTTGTGTGCCTCCATTTCGGACTTCATCTCAGTGTGAATCTCGACGAACTTGATGTATGCACCGGACTCCATTGCTGCAACCAACGCTCCCTTGTATGTGGACTTCTCTGCGTCCGTCATTGCATCCCAGTTACGCCGTACTCGTGGACCACAAGATGGCATTGCATCTGTAAGAGTCAGTATCAAGGCTAATGCCAATGCAGTGATAAGCTGAAGGCATTTCATTGCTACGAAGCCAGCAAGAACGGAAATGCACAGCTAACAACGAAGATAGTCAAATGACACAGTAGGCTATTGAAGAAGTTCATGAACACTACAGTTCCCAGCCGACTCGAACAGCTAAAAGCTGAGAGGATCAGAAATGACGAGAGTATCATATGACTCACCAAGTCCACATATCATCGCATCAGCTACAGATGATAAACACCATAGAAGTTTTCTGCCTCTCGTGGTAGCTGATACACCTCAATTTATGTTTGGAAGGTATCAAAGATTTTGCAGGATGGGAACAATACACTCGTAAAAAACACATTGGACTCATGACATTGAACTACGAGTTCGTACCAAGCTATAGCTTGGTCTCTCGTGAAGTTAAACGGACTGCACTACACTTGAAAGTGTGTTCGTGGCGGTCTGCGCGACCGACTGAGTAGCATCTTGAATGATAGACTGGGTCGTGTCACTGTAAGTGTTCTGTTTCGTTGATTGAGTGGCGTTTGCCGGCTTTGGGCAGCCGAAGTAGGATTCCATGTCCTTACGCCAGTTCCCGTACGTGATCTTCTGCTGGCCGCTCTTGATAGAGTTTACGATAGTAAGACAACGCGGTTCTTTCGCTCCCCACGTAGCCTTGAACTCGGCTGAATAATCTTTCGTACCACCCAGACACTGGTTCTCAAACATGCACACTTGCCGCTCGAGATCAGCCATGGCTTCGGGACATTGGCCTCCCATGTTAGCCATTGTTTTCTTGTACCAGTCTGACACTTTCTTCTCTTCGGCAGTCTCCTTATTCACCGTAACGACGTCCTGATTGTTGTTGTTGCCATCATAATGCGTAGACGTTGGCGGGGTTGTCGTAGGGGCGACAGTCGGAGCTGTAGTTGCAGAGGCGTAGTTGTTCGTCGGGGTGTAGTTGTTAGTAGCCGTGTTCTCATCACAGTCGTTGCCACGGATGTTATTGCCCTGGTTGTTCCTCCATGGCCACCAGCCCCACCCGTGCTCGGCTTTAAGTTTGCGTCCACCACAGCCATATCCATGCTGAGCTTCAAGTCTGCGTCCGAATCGTCCAAAGCCCCAGCGGTTGCGTAGCCAGTCGAACAAACCCCAGCGGCCAGGTTGTTGAGGTGCCGCTGTCGGAGTGACTGGTGCGTTATTGACTGGCACAGGCGCCGCAGTAACCGGGCTTGGTGCAGCGGTGGGGGCCACAGGGGACGGAGCAGTCGTTGGAGATGGAGTGGACGTACCATCGCAGTTGTTGTACATGTCGGCAAGCTGACCGCTCAGTTCGTACGAGTAGCTGCTATCGCCCAAGTCGCGCACGTCCATCAGACCAGCGAACTGGTTGGGAACGCCTGTGAAGTACTGGCCGATGAGCGGATCCTGGCTGCCTTGAATCGGGTTGTTACCATTGACGCCCGTACGCATGACGATGACATCGGTCGGGCTGAATGTACCGCCGTCTCGCTTGGCGCATGAAGTCCAGGCAACAGGGTGAGCAGCTTTCTGCGCAAACGTCAGGCGCTGTGTTCCGACACGGCATTTGTGGAAGATGGTATGGAGAGCATCGACCATAGCGTGATGCGACCAGAAGAGCGGCTCGGACGGAGAAGCAAAGGTCCCCATTGCACCACCGAGATTGGCGTGTACGCTGTTGTGGCAGCCTTGCTCGACGTTCGGGGACATTTGACCGATGTTTTGAGCGTTGAAAATTTGCTGACGGACCGATGCGAAGCTGGTACTTGACGGGACACTGGCAGATCCCCAGTTACCTCGAGGCACACAACGAGCGCAAGCTGAACCGGAGACTGTTCCGGACTGGCAGAAGTGATCAAGTGGTGACTGCGCCACACAGCGACCCGAATTGTTGATCCCGTTGATATTGATCGTGCGTTGTGATCCGGTCGTGTAGCCTCCAAGTTCTCTCGTGATAGTGGAGCAGTCGCCAAGAGAAGAACAGGTACCCGCAAGCATGCGGTTGCTAGCGCCCACCCAGTTGTAGTACGGCACGGTCACACAAGCGTACTGCGATCCTTGTCCACGAAGCATGTTCTCGAAGACAACAAGCAGCAAACGGTGCCAGTAGATGAACATGCACTGACGATGAGCTTCCATCTCGGACTGCATCTCTGTGTGCATCTCGACGAACTTGATGTAAGCGCCCGAATCCATCGCAGCAGCGAGAGCTCCCTTGTACGTGTCCTTCTCTGCAGTCGTCATGGAGTCCCAGTCCTTACGGACACGCGCCCCACACTGCGCTTGAACCGGCGACAGCGTCGAGACGAACGCTAGAAGCGCAACACCCAATGCCCACACAAGCTTCATGGCGAGTAAGGACCTTGATCTGCGACGACGGATAAGGTGCTTGGCCGATTGCTGCAAATCGGAAAATGAGGCATGTCGAGACCTGCAGAGCTTACCATGACGGACAGCAAGACGAGGGAGCCTAGGGAGAGACGCCTTGGCGACCTTGGCAGTTGGTCAACATTAATATCAAGCTGGAGCATGGCATGCTCTACCTCTACTAAGAGTATAGCGAACAGCAGTTGTGTCTGGCTAGTGACTCTGATAAGACTTGGTAACATCCTGCTGGTCAACTTCAACTTTGTCCATACAACTATTAGTATTATTTTCTGACACTGGATGGCAAACATGACTTTTCATCTGCTGGCTAGCAGGTGCGTGGCACAGAGTGGATGAGTTGATGTGGCGGCTGGAACACCCTCTAAAACGCAATAGTGTTTTCTTTGCGACGGCGTCTTAAACGAGACGAGTTTTGGCAGGTTGCGTTTGCTGCTGTATAGCACACAGGGCGACGTACAGGCGAAAATGACCGTAGCTTTGCACTGCTTGACAATGGCGGGAAGAGGCACAACTAACCCACAGTTCAGAGTCCGATCAATAAGGCGGCTGTGTGTGACCGCCAGCAGAGTGATCTGATCAAATGCGGTAGAGTATTATCACCACACTGCAGTGGAGCTGTTATGGTCCACTGGCGCCCACTGTAAACAATACAACGAAGTACATTCTTAGTAGGTCAATGCACAGGATTTATCCGGTGATATCAGATATAGCGACGCAATGGGAATGCTGTGCCGGGGTCTGCCGTTCAGGGCTGGTATTCCAAGGTGACCATCCTAACCGACTCTAAGCTATTCGCATCTGTTCTCGTTCAACACGATGTCACCCGCTTCAACCAATTGCTCTCGGATCGATGCAAGAAGATACATACGGGGGCAGCTTCACTCAAATGGGCCATTGCGGTAAGAGTATCCCATGACAAACCCTGCGCATTCCAGATTGCTTAAGCTTTAGCTACACCGAAAATTTGGTCTCATTTAATTACTGTGACTGGGTAAAAACGCTGAGTAACAACCTCAATTTTGTTGCCGCCCCGCTATTCTTCAAGATATGCCAAACGGTAGTTGCTGCTCTTTACGCTGCATATATGCTTCCTCCTTAGTAAAGTAACAACGTTTGCTGCATGCAGGACCTCCTTAACCCACGATCTCGTACTTTTCATCCTGACATGCAAGCCTGATGCTCAACCGGACATTTTGAAAGAACGCGGGACTGCTTTTGCAACGCCGTTAAATCAAGGATTTCAGCATTACCAGATTCTTAGGCTCACGCTATACAATCTGAACACCCTATTGACGACCAAGTTCGTCAGCTCTGACGAAACTGAAAAAAAAAAAACTTACAGCGGCTCAATAGAATCACGTGCACCAATTCAAGCAGCATCCAACATGTGAGAAGCACTTAATTCTTTTAAACGTGACGTGGAAGCTAATCAAACTCAATCGGAAAGCATTTACCAACACGTTGTACAACAACTCAAAAGTTCATCCATCAACAAACCTTCGACTGCTTACGTTCGAATGCGTTTGCGAGCTGCTTTGCACTTCGGCGTCGTAGCAGGGGTCGGCGTCGACGCCGTATCCGTCGAAGGAGCCTCCGTTTGCGTGGTCTCAACCGGTTCTATCGTCGAACTCGTAGGAGCCTCGGTTGATTCCGTCGGAGTTTCGTTGGAAGAGCCCACCGTAGTGGAATCAGCTTCTGGGGCTGCAGCCGATCCAGCCGCAGACACTTCGGTCGATGGGGCACCGCCAGAGCCCGAGTACAGCGGGATACACTCCTTGTACACCTGCCACGAGTACTTCTTTTTTAGGTAACGAACACCCAACCAGTACCAGTATAGCACGCAGCTATCACCGCAGGCGCTATAGTCCAACTTGAACGTTTGATCCGTGATCGACTCGTGGCAGTTCAGATAAGACAATGCCAGTGTGTCCCCCATGTAGATCTCACAGGGACCGTCGTGGGTGTAGCCGGAAGTACGCATAGTACCGTCTTCTGGAATCTGCTGTGGGACACCTTTCGGGTCGGTCCATCCACAGGCTTGATCGGCTCCGTCAGTGACCGAGTACTTTGCGTTATCCATAAAATCGCGGAGACTTTTGTAGCCGTTGTCCACTTGATACTGGGTGAAGTTCTCTTGTGTAGTGTAACCTTCTTTCTCAAGGAAGGACAAGGGGTTCCAGAGCACCCGACGCTCGGTAGACGTCGAGTTCGCTCGAGTCCATGTCGGAGACGGAACGTACACGACTTGGTGAGCTTGAGTCTGGAGCAGTAGTGTACTACTGAGCACCGCGACAGACGTGAAGGTTGTCAGCATGACAGGAATTGTTTCGCGTCAAGGTCGATTGGAAAATGAGGCTAACAGACCGATCCATCGAGGGCCATTTCGATGCGGCAGATACCACAGAGCAGTCTTTTACGTTGTGCACATGCACAGACAGTGTCGGTACGACGCGAACTTCATGTAAGGAAGAGGTCTGTGCTGTCCGTAGTGTTTCTTTGACAGCAGATGCGAGGTCACATCTATCAGAATGTCAAAATCTCGTATCTAGTTTTTAAAACTAAAACGTTCGTACATGATGTAGAGGCCAACCACTACAGCTGCTGCTGGGGACGCAAGGGACTCACGCTGATAAGTCACGCAACGGGAAACTTTCGTGTAGGCCTCTTCGTAGACTCGGTTCATTCGCACCCGTGACAATGCTTCTGTACTCTGTCAACAGCGATGGCGTTACTGTCACCACTACACTACAGTTGTAACTGGGCACACAACTCGTTGTTCGAGTGTTGCGGTCTAAGTAGACTGTTGGAGCATACTGTTTGAACATCGTGAACGTTGATATACTCAGGAATTTTAAAGCAACAATGGGTGCTAAACATACAACTACGAGTCTTGATAGGCCTGTACAAGTCTCTCATTCGACGTACGAGTTGCCTACTTGTAAATCGGGATGCATTCCTTGTACACCTGCCACGAGTACTTGCCCTTCAGCTTGCGCACGCCCAGCCAGTACCAGTAGAGGATGCAACTATCTCCGCAGCCACTGTAATCCAGCTTGAACGTCTGCTCGGGGATCGATTCGTGGCAATTGAGGTACGATAGGGCGAGTTTCTCGCCCATGTAGATCTCACACGGTCCGTCGTGCGTGTATCCCGTCGTACGCATCGTTCCGTCCTCCGGGATCTTCTGCGGAATGCCCTTCGGGTCAGTCCAACCGCAAGCCTGGTCGGCCCCCTCCGTGACCTTGTACTTGGCCCGATCCATGAAATCACGGAGACTCTTGTAACCGTTGTCCACCTGAAACTGCGTGAAGTTCTCCTGCGTCTTAAATCCCTCCTTTTCGAGGAACGACAGCGGGTTCCACAGTTCACGGCGCTCCTTCGAAGTTGAATTTGCTCGCGTCCATGTCGGCGCGGGCACGTTCACGACTTGATGGGCTTCGGTGGCGTGCAACAGCATCGAACTGCCGAGCACTGCGAGCGTTGAGAAGGAAGAAACCATCGTGGCTGGGCTGGTGTCCTGGTTGATGGTAATTGGAAAATGACTTTCGAGATGCCTTCCAGTTTTGGAGCTCCAAGCGATTCAAGCGAAGCAAATACAAAGCCTTAGGGCACCATTATGACACCAAGATAGCCGAGATTTTTCATGTATACAGCGATTCGGTGCATGCTGTCCCATCAAATCTGGTGATTCAAAATACACTTGGCTCTACAGGGACAGTAGAGGAGCTATTGTGCAGATTCTAACAACATCACATCACACTTTGTCCATTGTGTCCACTTTGTCAGTAAACATGGGATCATTTGGATAAGGAAAAACTGGAGGTCGACAAACGAATGAGATAACGAAAATAGGAGTACATGTGGCCCCAGATCGACTTGAGGCTCGATAAGGACAATATTTTATTTGCAGCAATGACACTCCAACTTCAAGCCGTATTGTATTTACCGGTATTATTACTGGCTAGGGGTGGGGTGGATTAAAAATATTTATTTTATTAAATTAATTGGTATAAATTGAACTTTGTGGCAATGTTTACAGTAAATGGCACGCAAACGGTTACAGTGGCACTTGTAATGCAAGCATTCGTCAAACGAAAATATGTTTACGGATCTGGCTCGTAAGCACCTCTTCGTGTCTAACTCGTGTACAGTGCCTGTTTGATACCAGGGTGGACAACACATTACACCCTTACAACTAATCCTGTAACCAATTGACAAGGACCCCTCAACTAATGAATCGCATGTTCTCACACAATACGCACTCGTAGTGTATCGTGGGTCTGTACATGCTATTTAATTGTATCTTTTCGAGCTAAGTGCTGGAGCAACCAAGTGTATTTGTACAGCCAAAAGTGTACAGCGGCAAAGGAAGTGTGTCATGCCCAGGCACGGGTTGCAGAATTGATATAATACTTTTCAATTGATAAATTCAGCTCGATATATTAAGTAGATGTACTAGTCAAGTAGCGATAAAGTGAAATCTCAAAATTCGCTGGTTTGTCCATGCATTGATTTATAAAGGTCAAATATCAATAAAAACTGATATTTAAAAAAACGATAATAAAGTGAACATTTCTATCATCCTTGAAGCGCAGCTTCATCTGCTTGTCTTTCCGCCAAAAGCACCGTCACCGTACGGCCACGATGGGCCACTCTCGTTGTTGTGCCCTTTGAGCGGACTGCGCCAAGATCCTGATCCTTCAATGGCTTCCTATCCTGCTTGTCAACCACTCCTTCTCGAAACGACAAGCTGGAGATAAATGCGCTGCTCTTGCGCTCGCTGACAGATTGTCGAACCTGTGCATTGCGGGCTGTGTTCGCAACGTGGACACCTCGTCCATCAAATATGCAGGAAAGAAGCATATCGGCAGAGAGCTCAGGGAAAGGTATGTTAATAACGCATGACATGCTGACATCACACCAGAGACTAATTTCAATATTGTCGCGTTGGTTTTGCAGCGACGAGTGCGTCAACCCGTACTTTTACTGATTCATTGGCGTCACTACAGCAATGACCGCAGCAACACGTTCGTTCGCAGCCATGAATATGCGAGATGTCTTTAGAAGACGAAATCCTACCCCACTTAACGGCCCCAAGGAGGATGTGGACATGGATGAGTTAGATATTCCCTGACATATTTCTCATTTTGTGACCAAGTCGGGATTAAACGCTAAATTGGTCATTCATCGTTCAAAGATTCTTATATCGCCACTACAAAATATTAAAGCATAACTCGGCTAAGATCGAGCGCATCAAGAATGTTATGCGGTCCTCTGATCTGTAATCTGAATGTTGATATCGGTATACTAATACGATAAACTCTGAAGCCCTACCATAGGAATTAAGATGTAATATTGGATTTTGTAGGTCGATATCATATCAGTGATATGATTGATGTTCAGTGAGGTTGCCACTGCTGATCGTGCCACGCCCAGATCAAGCGCTAAAGGATAATTGTTTGTGGCTAAAAGAAGTAGTCTAGGTTGTGGATCAGCCGAAATGGAATTGATGGCCAATTCACAAGTTGATGATTCGCAACAATGCCGTTTCCCTACGCTGGTATCATGTCCAAGATGTTCCCAGACTAGGCACGGACCGTGCAGTTACGATCACGTTAAGTTAGAGATTCTCCTCGAACACTATCCATAAATAAATTCTCCTACATTCTTAGTAAACGAGAATACGGCGTCACTGGAACCAGAATGCCCAGGCCCATTCACTCGATCGTAAATGCTGCCACCATTATCTCCTCCGCTGTGAACATCGATGTACCTTACCTGCCGTCAAACTCGAACTCCCTAAACGACCGGTTCACAAATTACAGGCATTTTGAAAATGGTTCCGTCTATCTGGGAATACGACTCGACATCAGCGATTGCTGTAGTTCAGTACGTAGCTGTTCGGCGGTCGATCGACCGGTCGAACGCGTGAAGCGGCAAGGAGTTCAACTTCGACGTGTAGAGCTTAGTCACGTTGAGTTTAAATTTGTAGTGATGCTTTAATGATTTGAATTTGGTTTTGGCTAGAAATGTAAAGGACTTCTTACAACTTTCCGATTCGATGGCACAATACTTATGCGCATAGCGCGCACTCAAAGTACATGTGTATTCGTTCCTTGTCGCCTGTTGCCACCCCGAAACAGGAGGCGATAATCAAGCTGTCCTCTGACTGACATGATCACCTGCGATGAGCTGCACATTTAATAGATCAAACTCACCGTCCCATACATCATGCCAGAATTCATGGTGTGATTGTGGTGTGATCACCGCGCGTGGGTGCACTGGATGCAATGAATAGAACGGTGTACTGCACGGTGAGAAATACATATACTTCGAAGTTGGAAACGCTTGACTTTCCGCGTTTCAAAACTGCCGAAAGTCTCCCGTTTGAAATTCCAGGAAGGACCGATATTCGTTTGAAGTTATTCATCGTGCAACGTGGTTGCGTCTTGACCCATTACCAATGGGCCCCCATTAACCAGTTGGGTCTTTATGGCGTTGTTCCAGCCTGTCCTCGAATGGAGCACTTCGTAGGGACACCAAGAGTCACATCTGGACTTCTACCATTTTTGCGCCCAGAACACGATGGCAGCACCATGCGGAGCGCTATAGAGAACCACATAGAGCCGCTCCCGGCCGCTTGCTTGAATCACTACCTGCGAACAGACGTACGTTACCACGCCAGCTTGGTCCTCTGCCTGCCGTAAAATATTGAGGAAGGCCCATGGAAAACTGTCATCTTGGCATGCCGGTGCCATGCTGGACCTCATTCCTCATTTCCTTGTGATCGACTCACTTCGACTACGAGGCCTACAAACCATGAAGCTCTTCTTGATCTTGAGTCTCGCCCTGTTGGCACTGGTGTCGAGACTTACTGAAGCTCAAACATGCGGATCCCGTCTTCGTAAGGACTGGGATATGATGACTGCGGCCGAGAAGGACACGTACCGTAACGCTCTCCGAGCTGCAATGGACTCTGGTGCATACATCAAGTTCGTCGAGATGCACACTGAGATGATGTCGGAGAGAGAGGCTCATCGTCAGTGCATGTTCATCTACTGGCATCGTTATATGCTGGTCGCGTTTGAGAACATGCTCCGCGGCCAGGGATCGCAGTACGCCTGTGTGACGGTGCCCTACTTCAACTGGATCACTGCCAGTGCTCGCGTCACGTCGGGTGCCTGTTCGTCTATGGGCAACTGTTTGGCCATCACCCGGGAGCTCGGTGGCTGGACTAGTGGCACTGTACGCACGTTGTCAATCAACGGTATCAACAACTCCGGTCGCTGTGTTAACGTGTCACCACTTGACCGCTTCTGCCAGCTCACCTCTACGACGGGTACTGCCTGTGCCCGATGCGTGCCTCGCAGTGATTGGAGTACAGTCCGCGTGCCTTCATCGGCGAGTTACGCTGCCGTCCGTAACCAGGTTTTCACTGGAGTGAACATCGGTCAAATGTCTCCGTTGGTGGAGCAAGGCTGCCACAACAACGTGCACGCCAACTTGGCCAGCACAATGGGGACGTTCGCTTCTCCGGCCGATCCGATCTTCTGGTCGCACCACGCTATGGTGGACTTGTTGCACGTCATCTTCCACAAGTGCCGCGTTGGAACGACCCGATTGACATTCGAACAGAAGGCGTCACACCCTGTGGCTTGGACATCTTGCAATCGTCGTGACTCGACTGTCGCTTTCAGACCGACTGATGTGGTGACAATGCGTACGGGTGAGAGGGGAATCAACCCGATCCAGGCTTCGACGGACCCTCGTGTCGGCCGATTCTTCACTGGAGTTCCTAACCAGTTCGCCGGTCTGATGGATACGCGTGACCTGGGCTCTAGCAGCTACGGATACTACATCGGCGGCCAAGTGGCTACCATGTACACTCAATGTGATGCATCCCCGACCTCGCGTAAGTTGAAGGAAACGAACTCAACGTCCCACCCTACAATGTGTGGAGTGGCGGAGGACGATGGCTACGATGAAGACGGAAACCACTACGCCTCACAGAACAATTTCCCTGAGACGGACTACACCGGCCAGGACGACGGTCACCAGGACGCTGTGGTTGTGGATAACTCGGGTAATCCCATCGATGAGAACACGCCGAGGGATGCGTATGTTACGGAAGACTCGGAGAAGAAGGTGGTGGACTGGTACGATCAGACTCTCGAAGCCCTGGGTGGAGACTCGGAGGAGAACATGGCCGATCTTGAGCGTCAAGCCTGCATGTTTGAGCACATTTGCTTGGGTGGAACGAAGGACTACTCGCCAGAGTTCAAAGAGACCTGGCAGGCGAAGGAGCCGCGCTGCAAGACCATCGTCGATGCCATCCTCAGCGGCATTGAGAAGATTAAGTATGAGTCGTGGCGCGAGGAGATGGAGACTGTATTCGGTTGCCCGGAGCCGAGCTTCACGAACGACACGAGCTCGTACTCTACTGGTTCTTGGGGATCATCTGTATCGGGATCTTTGAGCTCCACTGATTCGGGATCGTGGAGCACCACGGTCACGGATGATGTGGACAATTCCAACGACACGATCCACTTCCCGGATGCCTTGGACGATCCCGAGCCTACCACTGATGTGTCGGAGGATCCTCAGCCCATCACCGATGACCCCGACACTGCCACTGGCACGACGTGGGACTAATTATGCAGGGTTGCCTTTTGCCGTTTAGGTTTTGCTCTGTGTGTGAGGTGATCTAGATATTTTTTTTTTAATTCTCGGGCAAGTAAAGTCAAATATATTGGATGTGGAATGGACGCCTTCCAAAATTGTATTGTTCGGGTGTCATATCTGCAGCAGATATGACGGGCTTTAAAAAGACATACCGTAAAACTTATGTGCAAACGGACAAGTCGTATTTATCTTGACCCATCTATAACACATATCTTTGAGGACTGACTTTATTTTAAGTATCGAATAATACATTTTTGACCCAATGTTAAGAACACACACTTCTAACTTCTGATTATCTACTTCTGTATTGCTTCCGATTATTCATTCATTGTCTTCTCCGTCGCTTTCGCTGTCGTCAGCCAGGTCGTCGTCGGATGATAGATCTTTATCTTTATCACCCACTAAGCATGCCCTCTTTCCTTGACGTGTTCGAGCTCGTAAACTGAGTTGATGGCGACGCAAGAACCCCTTCCGCCAGTGCCACGAAGCTTTAAACCCTAGAACATCATGTTCCGCGGCGATTTCAAGTGCTTGCATCTCTAGCATAGGCCCACTCACAGGCACGCCATCTTTTCGTAGCATGTTCACCCAGCCCACGAGCTCCTGTTCGGCCTCGGCAGACAGAATGGTAGCCACACCAACGGGTCTTAAGTACTTAAGGTCTGCGGTTTTGGGGTCTTCATATAACAGCTTCAGGGTTTCGTGGTTTTCTATCCAGGTATAAATTAGCTTGCGCTTCGAGTCCTTAGACTTGCTGCTCAAAGTGCTAAAATACTTGTCTACAGTCTTCTGCATGCGCTTGTTGCACTCGAAAAAGTACTCGACAATCTCTAGCTTTAGCCTGTTAGTGGTACACCTCCGTCTATGTGTCGGCTTAGTTCTTCCTTGCCCGGTTATTCGAGGCCGGCCTGGTGGCTTGGATCTCCCCATGGCAGACGCGTGGTGATTGACTGGCTAGTGTGAATAGCCCCCTTCCATGACTTTCATAAAATTACCAAATTGTACTGTGATCGAATCGATCGCTGATTGGTCACTGTCAAGGTGTCCGTAAATGGCCAACGTCCGTTTGCACATAAGTTTTACGGTATGGCGGCATAGCGGTAAAAGTCTCCACAGCAAATGGCTTTGAAACGAGGTTTGTACTCAATTTGAGCCAATTTTTAGAGCACCTATGTCTAATATGCGGGGTACGACGGTAGATAATATCTACCGTCGTACCTACTAGATAGACCTTTGTAACCACAGTTGGCAAAAAAAAAATGTTTTGCTTGGCATTTTGACAGTTTGTGGCGATTCTCTACACCATTACACGAGTGATTTGAAGCTATTGGGCGTTACCGGAGCGCCGCTCAACTTGGTTGACTTGTCGGAGAAGGGCGTCAAGTTCGTACCCACGCTAGAGGATGTCGAGTCGATGAACACACTTGTACACGTGCTGGTGGTGGTTCCCCCTCCCGACGAGACGACATCACCATACGTAGTAATTGCGTCCATATTGTTTCAACACACTTTCTTGAACGTTTCCAGTACAACGGCTTCGAGAACTCAAAAGCTGAAAAAGCAATTTTGGTGAAGAAATATAAATGTGATTGCGGGAGAAACAAGAACGACGACGCCATGTTGCTGTGCATGGTGATGAATGTCGCTCTACCGAGCACCGTTGTGATCGCATCACACATTTTCCGACGAGAACACGATCATCTTAAAGAACACTTTGTGCAAATCGCTGATATTGACGATGTGAGAAATTGTTCAAACCGATCGAAAGCGCCTTCGATGATCTCGACATTTCGTTTCTTGTCGACAAGCACGATCGGTTCACTTTAAAGATTTTTAATACAGACATCAAGGCGCATCTGCTCGTGGACAGATTGACCCAACCGCAATGGGAAGAGCTTGGAGGTGAATCCTTACCAACACATTGGAGGACAAGTACGAGACCAATCTATGATCCAAATGCGCCGGAGTTCGATGTGCTCACAACGTTTGGCGAGTTGGATGGTAAGACACTTTGGTTTCCAAGCGGATCAACACTACGACCTTTCAGGCGCTGTTTGTAAAATATATAGCTAATAATATACAAAGATGGCGACATACTCACCTGAGCAATACCAAGCTAACAAGGTGCGCATTAAAGCAGCGCAGAAGCGCTACTACCAGCGCACACGCGAAGCTCGTTTGTCCTATCAGAAAGGGTACGATGACAAGAATAGAGGACAATGAAAGCGAAAACCAAAAATCGAACCTAATCAAGACCAAACCGAACTTAGTCATGATAATCGAACTTAATTATTTATTATTTTTTATTTTTGGTATAACGTCAATCCTAATATAATGTCAATCCTGATACAAAATCTCAAAAATATAAAGTCATTTCACGAAGAGAAATGTAGCTAACGATATATATAACGGCTATGTTTACATACGAGCTTGAAGGTCTAAAAAGATTAAATATCCGAGCGATTAAATAGGGGAGCAGCTACCGAGTTAAGCTTCGCGGTAGGACCGGTAAGATGGTGTATGTGAGCAACTTATCGCGCCCCAGAAACTTAGAGCTTGTAGCGAAGCAGTACAAGGTCAGTCTCAAGCGACTGGAGAAGAACTTATCCCCAAACTATAAGACTGACCCTCACTATCGCTTTTACAAGGGAAGCCACATGGAATCGCACCTATACGAAGGAATCCACCGTAGTGAGTTTTATGACAAGCTTGAAAACGTTCTTGAGAGCAGTATTGCTCTTTCAAGGATATTAACTATACCCTAGGGCTTACCAAACGTTCAAGCCTATTGATATTCTCCAGTTCGATTGAACTTGAGGAATGTTTCCAGCTTAGTATCAACGTCTTCACAATGGATATTGATTCTGGAAAAGTTGATTGCATTCGGCTTTCCGACCAAGAGTACGATTCGATAAACATTCTCTCACACAATCATGCTCTCTACATCAAAAACTTGGATATACTTTAGCGTAAATTCCAATGTGGAAAATGTGATATGGTTTTCGCCAGCTTAGAAAGGGTTAAAAATCATACCAAAAATAAATGCGAGCTTGTCAATTTTGAGTCGTTCCCGGCTCAGCCAACGATTTATCGACCGGCTCCGAATGCCATTGGTTCAATGCTAATGAAGTAGTCTATCAGGAATGTAGATCAGTACGTGAATCACTTCATCGTTTATGACTTTGAGGCCATTCTCAAGCCTACTGGAGTCAAGCACGGAAAATACTGTCTTTACAAACGAGCATATCCCTGTACCCGTATCAGTAGCCGATAGCTTAACCGAGGAAGTACGTTGTTTCGTCAATGACAATCCAAAGGCTTTGTCAAAAGAAATGTTCGAGTACATTGAATATGTAGGCGACCAAATTCAGCGATGCAACGTCTCCAAATGTGAGACGTTGCTTCGCAAGATAATTAATGCCCATGGTTTAGCTGGTATAGAGATCCCGGGAGTTTACTCAAGTACAACACTGGTGATATCGATAAATGGATTAAGGTAGGAGATTTTGCGAGCTTCTTCGATTTCCATAGCAAGATTGGCTTCGGAAAGAAGCGTTCAGACTATCTAAAGCTAAAGCGGACCATCGATCAGGTACCAGTTCTTGATTTTAATTCTGGTAGATATGATATTAACCTTATCAAGAGCGACTTGTTTGCCGTTATTGGAACATACAATATCAAATCAGTCATCAGGAACCCATCTTAAATGTGCATCGCGACTTCGAATATGAAAATGCTTGACATTAGCAACTACGTTCCTGCTGGAACCAGCAAGTACCTCAGTACATATCTTGGGAACTGTAAATGTGATGACAAAGTTCGATGTGTCTGTGGGCTTGGTAAGGGTATAATTCCGTACGCGTACATTACTTCATTCGATGTACTCCATGAAACTGAGATCCCACCAAAATCAGTGTTCGATAGTAAACTTCGAGGTACAAGCATCATCGATGAGGACTACAAGCGAGTTCAATTCGTCTGGGAACACAATGAGATGAAGTCGAGCAAGGACCTACTCATTTGGTACAATAACCTCGATGTAGTCCCATTCATAAAGGCTATCCAGGCTCAACGCGAACTTTTCAAACGCTTTGACCTCGACATATTTGTCGATGGTGTATCCCACCCAGGGCTTTCGGAGAAGGTTATGTATCAGACTTGCTTCAAGAACCTCCAGCACCGTACGAAAAATCCTGCTAAAGTTTTCAGCTTTCCAGCTAAATGTATGAATGGATACAAGACCCAGAATGCTGAAGCAAAACGCGAGTTCAATACGAGTCTCAAGCATCTCAACAAGCTTCTACTTCAGCAAAAATACTTGTGTGGACTGTGCTACAATCAACTAACCGTAGATACAGCATCCGCCGATCGAATCAATAACAAGCTTGGTCATATCGATGGCAATATCTTGATCAGTTGTGTTGAGTGCAATGTTGCTCGTAAGGATGTCTCTGGAGGGGTTTCGATACAAAAACTGCTGTATTTCAACTCGGACAGGCTAGTTTATAGCATCGACAAGGTGGAGAAAGATATCTATGCTAAGATGAAGCATAACATTGCAGGAGGACCATCTATCATCTTCAACAGGTATGTCAAACGCAACGAGACAACGATTCGAGGTGGTAAACTCTGTAAAAAGATCATCGGATACGATGCCCATGCTTTATATCTTTGGGCACTCGCCAATAAAATGCCATGCGGTCGATTGACTACGATTGAAGCATATCCGGGTATTATCGAAGATATCAAGGCGGACAAAATATTCGGATTCCTGGAGTCTGACATCCGTACTCCCAATCACCTAAAGGAGTACTTTAGTGAGATGACACCGATCTTCAAAAATACTCTTATTAATTGTACAGATGAAAATGTTATTGGTTCCCACATGTTTAGCTACAACGAGGCCAGCCAGCGAAGTCGAGCCAAGCCAGCTCGCAAGCTAATTGGAAGCTACTTTGGGGATAAAATTCTCATATACACCCCATTGCTTAAGTGGTACCTAGCGCATGGAATGGAGATCACAAAAACTTATAGCTTTATCAAGGCCAGTTCCCACAAAGCATTTTCTCCATTTATGGAAGCGGTATCAGACGCTCGATGTGAGGGTGATGCTGATAAATCCAAAGCTATGATTGCTGAGATGATGAAACTTGTTGGCAACAGTGCTTTTGGTCGCAGTGGCATGGATAAGAGCAAACACAAGGAAGTCAAATATGAATCAGACGATAAGGCAGTAAAGTCTAGAATTGAGCACTTCACCTTCCACGGATTGGAGGAGCTCAACGATTCATGTGAGATCACTATGAAAAAGCGACGTATTCAAAACAAGAATCCAATTCACCTAAGCATTGCTATCTACCAACTGGCCAAGCTTCGTATGCTACAGTTTTACTACGATTGCATTGACTTTTAATTCGATAGGTCTGACTTCCAGTATCAAGAAATGGACACAGACTCAGCATACATGGCTTCAGTTGTGATAATCCGTTTCAGAACTGCATTAAGCCTGAGCTGCGTGATCACTTCAAACAGAACAAATACGATTGGTTCCCTCGCGACTATAATTTCAAGGTAGCAAAGTTCGACCGTCGCACACCCGGTTTATTTAAAGATGAATGGACAGGTGATGCTATGGCATCGTTATCGTCTAAGAACTACATCTGCTACCTACCTGATGAATCATGCAAGGTCAAGGTTTCAGCCAAGGGTATTCGACAGGGAAATTCTCGCAATGATGATGTACTTAACCCCGATGGTTTTGAAATGGTAGTACATGATCGTATCACACTACAAGGTACTAACAAGGGCTTTCGACTAAGTAAAGCAACGAAGTCAATTAATACTTATAGTCAAACTAAAACGGCTCTAAATTACTATTACGACAAACGACGTGTTCTAGATGATGAAATTTCCACCGCTCCGTTGGACATATAATTCATAAGCTTCTGGGAGGAAAACATTTTTTATACCACATTGTATAGATCAGTTTTCTACTCATGAATTAACTATTAAACAAGCTTTACTATGACCCGAAAACAGGTTATATCGGTGCCCAATCACTATATTATAAAGCGAAAGAGTTAAACCCTAAAATAACTCTGAAAATCATTAAATCATGGTACCAAAGTCAAGCTGATATACAACGATTTCAAGATCAAAAGAAAAGATTTGATAGCTTCAAAATCGTTTCCCACAATCCCAACTCTTGGCAAATCGATCTCGCGTTTTGGGAGAAGCAACCGGTACTAACTGCTGTAAACACCAACTCTCGGATTGGGTACGCAAAGCTTCTATCTGAAAAGAATCCTCAAGTAGTGTTGGCATCAATTAACCCCTCCAGACCGGGAGCCCACTGGAACATCTAAGCTGCATATGCTACATTATTAAACTTGGGGTTTGTATGTAAAAAGGTGTAGGGGATGGTTACAGGGGCGGGTCCCGGAAAAAAGCCATGCTAAGGTGACATATAAGCTGCATAACTGATCAATAAGAAATCTCTATCGTGTCAATCGATTATAAAGGTATACATTATTCGCGCATTCTGACGTCCTTCCCCGACCACTGTGGGTTTTATGCATTTGTAAATGAGTGTGCCTGACTGCAGTTTCAATATATCAGCTAAGTAAATTTACTATGTGATGGGACAGAAAAAATGATGCGTGTTCATCGCTAATGCTTCTTGGTAGCTGGAAATGTATACTACTGTTGTATACCATTGATGTAGCAGTGTCGATGTATATGTCAATTCCTTTTATCATTGCTTTAGTTGTAAGGTACAAACACGCTGCTGGTGGGTGCGAATAGACTCCTTGAGAACGAGCGGTTTTGCGTTCTTAAGCGACGATAAACGTGGGTAAAATATCAAGAGGAGATAGATCATGATGGAATGGCAGAGGGCTTGACGGCAATTACAGCGTACCAATTGCGTCCGCAAAAGCTAAACAAAAGGCGCCAGTTCATACCCGGCCATGACGCCATGCCGCTGCTTTTCGGCCTTTCGTGTTCTACCTCGCAACCGGTTTTAGAAGGGGCCTCAAGTACAGTGAATGCGGTGGTTGTTAAGATGGTATGACCAAAGTGTGAAATGCCTTGTGGAGCTTTCATGTTTGAGCCACGTACAACGTAATGCACCAGGAAGAGGATCCTTGCAACTTGCGAATTCTAGCATGGAAGACGGTGGAAACCATGATCAATGGGACCTTTACCTGAATGGTATGGGAGAGGAGGATGCTGTTGCTGCCAAGTCAGTGGACCTTGCTCGCGATTAAATCGACCGCCTCAACGTCTAGGTATGCATCCAGCTCTGCTGCTGAGACTTTCCTTTCGCCTTTCAAAGCTTCATTTTTCAGCCTCGCCAAGCTTACTTAAACTTTTTCGTGACAGCCACGCCAAGCTGATTCCGTTCCCCGTGAGTGTTAGTCACCACTTCAACCTTTTTTCCCTTTCGCGAGCCAAAGGCCTAAAGTAGCCTAAGCAATACAATCAATTTACATAATACATAATACATCTATGAAATAAAAATTTAGGAAGATAAATACGACATTTTAGAAAGTTGACAACTGCATCAGATACAAACCGGTGGGAGTAGGCTGCTCAGCTTTACGGTGCAGCGAACTCGCTAGTACTTTAGAGAGTTAGATCGTTGTGTCTAAAAAGACGCGGGTTTCTCATATTCATAATTACACTGGCCTCGTTTTGACCATGTCTTGTAACAAAATAACAGTTTATTAAAGTTACCCTTCACGATTACAAGTCGTTCTGTATATGCTTGGTTACCACGTTGGTTAAACGTTTGTGAAGGGCGAAGAAAACACCCATTTAGAGACTGGTTCCTATTATTCTTTGCACATAACTCTTAAGGGAGATAATTCGCTCGTGTACCGTGAAGCGTTAAGGAGCTGTGACCCGATAAAGCATTATCAACCGCGACCCTGACTTCAAGCCGTTGAATTTGATTTCAATCGATCCGTTAAACATTCAATGCCCCCCCCCCCCCCCCCACACACACACACACACACAACGCTAACGAAGCCACTTCCGAGTCTGAGCCTCAGCTGATAGCTGTAAGAAGGTTCCGCAATTCTGGCCCAAAAACGGAGAATCACCCGTCGGACAGTCACAGAGCAGAAGCGCTGGCCGTACAAGATTTGCTCCAGCACATCCAACATTTACTAGAACGCTTCTAGAGGAAATTCGCATTCATCGCTGGTCCATATGGTGTTAGTAGACTTATTGAGAACGGTAAACGAACGGAGGCTCGACCCCTGACATAGCTGTAGTTGCCTTTGAAGTCCGAAAGGTTTGCAGTTAAACTTACGCGGCTATGGTCAGGATGTCACAATATATCCACTCGATCTGGGACACAGGATATACGTTTACAGTAACGTAGGCGCGGCGATACTCTTCACCATTGTCGAGATTACGCACTTCGTCGCAAAGACGTTCATTTTGGACTTACCGACGCTTCAGGTCTATGGATGATCATGCTAAGCCGCCAAACGATATTGCATCAGTCGCCGTTAGGGTGGCGACGCTTTTTTTGTAACAAATTCTGAATGTATCACCCATTGGAAGACGCTGCTAGCTTGATGTTATCACAAGGGCTGGGTCGGGCAGGATAAACTCTGGACAGAATACAGTGAACGAATTCAAGGCGAATGAACGCGGCTCCAGGAAGCTAACTGCAGCTGTGGGTAGTGACGACAGTGTTGTCGACGCCATAACGACTAGCACTTCTCACAATCGAGAGAAATAGAAACTTGTTGCCCACCTCCGAACACCATTTGCCCCCTTGTAACATTTGCACCATGCGCTGGTCTTGTCGTAGTCACGGACAAGAACCCTGTTCTTGTTCTATACCAACGACCTCGCATGGACATCAAGAACCCGGGTTCTCGACGAACAAGCCGACGAAGCTGTGGTTTGTTATCACGCTTGTATCTAATGGGGTGGTGACCAGGATCCGAAATAATTCACCGAACTGTGCTTTTATCCCGGCGATCGGTGACGATTACGATTTGGCAATGAATAGCATGGGAAGGGTTTACCAGCTCCACGCAACGGGGAAGCTCGTTTGTCGACGAGTTTGCTTACGTTGGCTTTGGATCTAGTGATGATCAATGCGGTTGTTTTGCAAAACCAATCGACGCATGTTGGGTTGTGACAAAGACATTCCGTGGGTTCAAGCGAAAATCGCTTACCGCTGCCCATACGCTGCCAGAAATGAGGCTCACCCGAAGAGTCCAAGAAGAGTCGAAAACACATCGGTGAAGACACCATTTTTTGATATCTCGCTCCGAATTGCCGTGAGAAATCAAGTGACAAGGCTGGTGTGTTACCTATGCAGTCTACACAATATTACATCGAATCACGATGTGATTGTATGAAAAGCATTCGCGGTAAACACTTTGAACGCTTCAATAGGATGTATTACCAAAGTGCTTTTAAATGAAGTACGCTTAGCTTAGTGTTACGTGAGCTCTCGAAATATACGCAGTATTACTATGACCACGCTCGAGGGCGGACACGACGGAGTTTGACCAGGCAATTGGAAGTCTTAGCTGTTCTTGGGTATTCGGTATTTCTCGATTGGTTGATTTTGTCGTATCCGGTGAATGCACCGTGTCAGGTGTATTCTTTTCCTAGTATGGTGATCGTTTACTAAACCGGTGAGGTTGCGATGTTGCCGATATTGTGATTTCCCTTAGTTACATGGGTAGGAAATCTGCTACTACCATCGGTAATATTGTTTAAATGAACTCAACAATGTATAAGAAACTCGTAATGCAATGTATTGATCTTTTTTCTGCCTATTCTTTAGCCTCGAGCGGGCAAAAAAAAAGGAAGTTAGATCACCTTCGGACTGCGTCCTTGACGGCTTCACTCATCGCCTCGTTTCGTCATCGCACTATGGATGCTAGGCAGCTCTCTGCATTTACTGTTCAGACTACGTAAGATGATCTTAATATTCTCCTGTACTTGCTAACTCAGAACATCTAACATGTTAAAGATAATTTGCATTTATTTCGCCTTTTCTCTCTCGAGCAGACGGGCGCCCCCTGCCGCCCCCAACGACTGGAGCGCGACTACTAACTCAACAGCTATCAGAATTAATGTGCCCAATTAGTATTTATTCTCTATACATTCGCTTCAAGGTCCCAACTTAATGGTAAAAATGCACGGGTTTTCCGATAATAAGTCTGCTCATTTGTCCCCGTACTGCAAGCGAGTAGATCACCATCTTCCTTGCTGGACTGGATAGCGGCTCTCAAACAACGTGGACTACTCCCAGTGAGATGAGGCTGCACGTGAACTGACCTCGGTCATTGTCGTGGTGCTTTGGCTTACGGTGTACCAGGTGCGACGGTGTTCAAACGAAATCGTACTGTAGCTTTAAAGGTCGGAGGACGTCTGTGACAATGTATCGCCGATTAAACGTTGCAGCGCGGTGGCAAATGGCAATTATGTACCACGGTACCAGCCCGGACATTTCGAGCATAATATCATGCTATAATTCTGCGGTAATAGAAGAGGAGGGACCGGTGCGGCCACAAATGAAGCGTAATATGGGAATGCTACGAGTGCATAAGCGATTTCAGTAACATTTTACTATGTTGCCAGCAGAACGGCGTCTACCCGATGTTTACGTCTTGTCTCGATTTAGGGAATAGCGAGAGTTTCAGCGCCGTACTTTGTTCATGAATAACGTTCTGCAAACGTCTCCATATAGTCTAAGGCCCATTATCGGCATTTAACACAACGCTGAAAAATCTCTAGAGAAAGCTACTTACGCTTGTAATTTCTCGTAGGCGTCCGAATACAATAGCAGGATGTCCACCGGATGGCGTTGCGCGAGGTCTTCGAGATTTGAAGTGTAATCAGAAACTGCGCACAATTTACTGTTGAAGTTTCAAGATGACGGATTTCAATCTACCCTCTAACTATATCTGATTGACGTTATATAGTAGAGCAAAAAAAGGCGTATAATAAACCAGCATTTGTATACTCCGTATGCTTAAGTAGCGTACACTTTGTATAATACTTTTGGCAGGCTATTAAATACAAGCCCTAAATCTAAAATGGAAATTTTTACTACCCCAAAGAGAAGTATGTGCCCTTTTATGGTTATTCACATACAAAGGAAAATAACAAGAACCCTTTGTTAAACAAATCACATATATGACGTCCTGACGTCCGAAACCCCCTTTTTTGTACTTTGCCTTTGACGGGGAAGAAATTTACTGGCTGTTTTGCTTCACTCTCTTACCCCTTCTTTTTGCGGGTATCGTAACGCTTAAGGCTAAGGATCTCCAAGACGCGAACCATCGTCGACGCAGCAAGCGGGAAAATCAAGTTATCAAAACCACCATTCTTACAGAAATAACCTGGCGAAAGGGATCGAGAATCGGTGAGCTTATGGCTTCACGCCACGTAAAACAACACAACTTTTTGAAACGTACCACCGAGAAAAGACCACTTCATCACATCGTATTACCGCAAGAAAACCATACTGCTCAGCAACCTAGAGGCAGGACCAAACCGCTGGCAAACCTCCACGAAGAACTTGTTAGCCAGATACAGGATTGACCATAGCTCTGGAATCTGCTGACTAATTACGCGGTTTTGATATGAAGCTCACGCCCCTACGTGGAAAATGAATTCATGAGAATCGTTTCACTGTTGGTCATGAAAACAGCATTTCTGGCGATAATAGTGGCGTCAACAATAGTCTGCTTGAGTTCACCGAGGCTGGCAACCCGATAGATCTCCGGTAGATTTTTCCAACGTTTTTCGAATCAGTGTTTACATGCGTGATTAGAGATGTATTTTGTAGACAACCTGGAAGTCTACACATCTACTTCTCTCGAGCTAATGTCATGTTGGTGGATTGAAATTAATACTTCGAGAGTCAATGCTAGTATAGCACGCACAAGTTCCCGAAATGACCTTCAACTGTTCCCAATCGCGGTGGTTCAAGATCACCACGTTCCCGCTTATAGTGAACGATCGCGTAAGTTGTCATAGAGCTTCAAAACGAAACGAATACGGGACAGGATTTGAAACGCTGTACTGTAGACTGCTATCCCAGGTGCGAACTATGACTCCCACCAGCGTTTCAATCTGAGGATATAGCCTGTTGCAATTGGCATGCATGAATGGCATTCAAAACTTCAAATAAACACTGTGTTGCAATTCCCAAATAGCGAAACAATTAGCGTGTTATGTGTTCTATCGCCGCCTTCTTGTTGGCGAAGAGTCTCAGAATGCCATAGAGGAGGTTCCCCAGCGTCTCCTTGCTGACGAAGGCTGCGACATGGATATCGACGATGTTGGAGTCGACTGCGCGTAGAGATGCCGATTTTTAGGCTATTTATTGCGATATAACTTGTCTTAGTACATGTTTACGGAACCTAAATTTGAAGTCCGGTTTATGGTGCTTCCATTATCCATTTCGCGATAAAAGGAAGCAGAATGCCCCCCTTTTTCTGGTTTTCAACTAAGTGCGACGATGTTTCCATGTTAAAGGAGGCAAAATGCCTCCTTTCGTAATTAAGTACGTTCAGGACAGGTCGTTATGGGCATAGCAAAACCAAGCAAATCACAATTGGAAGGTGGTCCATCAGTCGCCTTAAAGCAGGCAAAATGCCTCCTTTTGATACTGACTATCCTAGATTTGAAGACTATAGTTTACTAAAGTGGCTCGCGAAAGGGTTATTATATGCTCCGGGCTTGTAATACCGCTTGTACAGTAGATCCACGAAATATATTACTAATAAAACTAATATTCTTAATCTGTCGAAAATCTTCTAGATGCAGTGAAACTTTTGTTTTTAACACAGCTAAAGTTATGAAAAACAATAATTCAAATAAAAAGTTAAATGATAGTGTTTTAGCAACAGATATTCTGTTATTCAGTTTCGAAGAGCGCGAATTCTACCAAAACATTATTATTGCAATTGTTTATCAAGAACAAACCAGTATAATGTAATAACATTTCAAATGTCATTATTTATTTTACACAATGGATTTATTAATATTAAATTTCTGCCTTCTGTGTTTTGTAATATTAACCCATTATTAAAATTGACCTGACTCTGTCCTTAGTGCTACTATTAATATGGTGCTGAAATCAATTTTTCTACAAATCTCTAATCACGACCTAAGCATTGCTTGGAATGTACACTTATACAGCACAAGAAGCGGCATATCGACTGCTACAGTACTCACTGCAATTGGTGTGTGTGTTCATAATTAGTATTATACGCGAATTAGTGTCTCCAAGATTTTATGACGCTATTTTAGGTGAAGAAAAATAATAATACACATTCAAAATTAGTGTGATTACGGTCTGAGGATTTGCTGCACCGGATAGTATGACCCTCCTAGCTGCCCTGGGTTCAGACACGCATTCGTGTAGTCTTCGGAGTCGTGAATACCGAAACGGTTATGGATTGATTGACTAGGGGGCGCCACGGTTTGTGGTAATATTGTAAACATACGATGGCTGAAGTACAAGGGAAGGGTTTTGTATTTGTCCAGAGTACAATAAAACTATAGACAAGCTTGATCATTAATTATAGTTTTACTAAGTTGGAAGCAGTGCTCTGAAAAAATAAATAATACAATTAGTAAAGTATTGTATTTATTTAATAATTTATTATTGGCTTTCATAAAAGTCCGTAAAATATAAAATTGTCCCCGTAATTACTGTATTGATTTCTTGCCAGTTGACTGGTGTGAAGGTGCCTCGACGTTGGTGGTTCTGGGAGGTTCTAGTTAGTCGTCTGCTAGCGGAAGACTTACTCTCATTCTTCATTCCAATCTCTCGGGCCCATGTCGACTTCTCGCAGCATGTGCAACTTCTACTTTACGGATTGCGGCAACGGCGTCTTCACGTGCAAGCAGTGCAATACGCGTCGCAAACAAGCTCCTGGGTCCGGCTACTCAAACCTGCTCAGTCATCTTGCGATGAAGCACCCAGACCACCTCGCCGTGTTCGAGGCTAGTCAACAAGGCCAGACGCTTCAGGACCACGGCTTCGTCGACGCCAGGACGATGGAGATATTCAAGTGGATGGAGTGGGTGATCATGCGATACCTTCCGTTATCGGAGGTGGACGACACGCTGACGCGGGGACTAGCTGGAATTAAGCCCGTGTCATCCCAGACGCTTCTTCGCCACATGGGTCACGTGACCTCGCAAGTGGGTGCTGCCATCGCTGGGCTTCTCGGGGACAGCTTCGGTTTGATGTTCGACGGATGGACCTGCGGAACAGTCCACTTTGTTGGCATCTTCGGCGTTAGTGTTCGCGACGGCGTGCAGAGCCAGCCTCTGCTGTCTATTTCGATGGCTGAGGATGGGCAGTCGGCCGATGCTCACATCGAAATGATCGACAGCGTTCTTGGTGTCAACGAAAAGAACCGAGAGATTCTGCGCTTCGTCGTCGGCGACAACTGCCCGACGAACAAGGATATCGCTACTGGGCTCAAGGTTCCCCTGATCGGCTGCGCAAGCCACCGCTTCAATCTGGCGGTTTGCGAGTATCTCGCCGAGTATAAGGACCTCATCGCTGAAGTTCAAGCTCTGTGCATCCAGCTGCGACATCCCAACAACAGCGCTGCACTGGCAGCGTTCACGGGCCTCAAGCCGCTGAAGGCCAACGTGACGCGTTGGTCATCTACTTACGAGATGCTCAAGCGCTACGTCGAGATTCGAGACGCTATTAAGATGGTGCAAGCTGTTGAAGATTTAGTGCCACGTCCAAGCTCTCACCGCCGCATTGTTGAGCTTCTGAGCAAGCTGGGTGACCTTGACAGCGTATGCGTAAAGTTGCAGAGCGAGGAGCTAACGCTTGCTGACGTCCGGCTCCTTTTCGACGCCGTGGTGGTGAAGTACCCCGTAACGACAAGTTACCTCAAGGCTGATGCCAGAATTGTGCACTCTCCTGTCTTTGAGCGGGCCGTCGTGAAAGTTCAGGGAGATCGCAGGCTTCAAGCGGACGAAGAGCTGCTGTCGATCCCTTTCTGGTCGTCCAACCTTCTTCAGCCCGGCCGACCAAGCAGGTGGACTTCGCTACAGTCACACTCCGACAAGCCAAGAAGCCTCGTCACGCGTCAGCACAGAAGTACGACGAGTTGTTGAGCCAACTGCCACCGACTTGCAACCCATGTGAGCACCTCTTTTCACAGTGCAAGCTGATTCTCACCCCACGGCGGTCAAGTCTGCTGCCAGCGAACTTTGAGATGCTCGTGTTTCTACGAGCGAATCGCGACCTTTGGAGCTTCACCTCGCTTGTTGGCATTGATGATGCCCAGAAAGTAGTTTGCGCACGAGAAACTTGAGAGCTACAACGCTGCCGAAAAAAAAGGTTTAGACTCCTTATTTTGGGTTCGTCCAAATTTAGTTCTATGTTTTCTTTCAGAACCCAACAAAACTGCTGCTCAGGCTGGCTCGTATCTTGCCGTCGCCGGCAATATTTGATTGGATAAAAGAATCCAGCTTGGATGATAGTCACCAGCCTTCTCTGCAGCAGTGGGCTTCGAACCCAAGCCAGTGGCGTGACAGGGTCAATCTCACACCTCTGCCCCGTCCTGACCTTTGTCATACAGTAAAATAATTGAATAATCTATTATTGTGGATCGGTATATTGCAATGATTTTTATGTGCTTCTGTGAAGCCCAGTACAATTTTTTTATTTTATTGTAAGAGCACTGGTTGGAAGCCAGAGCGATTATTTTACAACCAAAACCCGACTCCTTCACAAAGAAGCACGGCTGGTAATGTCTAGAAGCCAGACGGAAGACGGTCAGGAAATCTCAAAAATCCAGGTAAAAGTTTTTCCTTACCATAACCGCTGAGTGCGTTCGTGAGATGAACGCTTACCTGGACAAGAACGGAATCTATCCAGTGTGGTTGTAGACTATAATGAGTCTAATTGACAGTAATTTTATCACACATAAATTAGTGTCAGTTCAAAAATAGCGACGCTCATACTTAATTTATGTAAGGAAATGAAAATGAAAAACACCTTCCGTGAAATAGTATCGGTGACACTAATTGCGGTGAGTACTGTACTTCAAATGTACATGTTACCTAAGACAACACGCTGCAATGACAGCTTGACGTGGTCTGAAGACACTCTATGATAGCTGGCGTGAATCACACGGCTGCAGCATAATTCACAACAACACACCACAAAATCGATCCATTAATAAAATAGGAATCGTAAGCGAACTTAGCAGTGGAGGGCCAAAGCGACAAACGGCTTTAGCGCCTGCCAACTGCACCCCCGTCTTAATCCATGTCCACAGATACGTAATCTGCACGTGCAGCCGCACCTTCTTCAGCAGATGGAGAGCTTCGAGCGTTCTCAGCCGCTGCCTGTTCTGGTGCAGTGCCATCCTCCGGGTCATTGAAGCTGACGCATGAAATCGCGCAGCAAATAAAGCAAAAAACGAGTCCAACCTGGAGCAAAACGTACAACATCAGTTAGGTACCAATAGCAAAACACAACATACCAGTTCTACGCACCACAATAAGCCACGGTAGCAGCACGTAGATACTGGAAAATGAACCGTCCTGTAGTCTCGCCGACAGGATGAAAAACGGTGACATAAGCGCTCCAATGACAAGAATCGTGCACAGAGCGTCCAGTAGCGGGAACTTGGATACAGCCTCGTCCTCTTCTTCTGTTACCGACTCACGGGTGTACGCATCGTGCGTGTGCGACTGTCGGGGAGAGTTGGATTTGGGCTCTTTCGCTTTAGTTTTGGCACGGAAATATTTCCTGATCGGGAACGACACGAAGAAAGCGACGTAGAACCACACGGGGATGAATACAACCCACCAACTGGCGTCCAGACTACCGTCCACCTTGAGTCCTAGTAGCACACCTTGCGCGATTCGAGCGAGGTTCAAAACCACCTTCATGAGCACAGCTACTACTAGAGCTGCACGTTGCTTCTTGATGTCTTCTGTGTGTGACACTCCAGCACCTTCGCTGTTCTTGGTGAGCATTTTATAGCCCAGAAGTCCTCCAGCTAGGGCTTCCAACAGGTTAAGTCCGTCATACACAAAGTACGGGATCAGCACCTCGATAAGTGTCCAGCTCAGGTCTCCATTGAGCTTGAGGGCTAGGAAAACCTGCAAAACCAGCAGTAATAGCGCCTTGAGGAACGCGTAGACCTTGTAGAGTGGTGGTTTCTCCTTGGCTGTGTCCTCTGGGTCCACTCCAGCGTCCGAGGACGCGAGCATGCAGCCCAAACAGCAATAATAAATGGCGTCCACGATCCAGAGGGGGATGCAGACCACAGCCCAGTTCCAGGAGATGGTTGAGTCCGCTCGGAGGCACCAGAAAACTGTTTCATCCAGGTTTTTAACAATTTAGTGATAACGTGGTAAAAGTTTTGGCATAAATGAGGGATTGTTGCCGTACTGGGGATGAGCAGAAAGAAGCCGAAGAGAAGCGATACCAGTAATATGAGAACGCACTTGCCCCTGGCGCCAAACGCGCCCATCGAACGGAAGAGCAGGATGGACATTTCTTCGGGACTCATGTTGCCGTAGTCCTCCATGAGTTTAATGCCATCTTCGCCCACTCTGCGTGATAAGTGTCAACCCAAAATGGTTAGATGAGTGGCAACACTGAAAATGTGATTTATCTAAAGCGAGAGGAAAGCGGGGGAAAAAATGGCACATAGTGGAAAACCAACGTACTGGTCGTAAATTTCGCGCTTTTGCGGGTCGGAGAGCACGTCGTACGCCTGTTTCATGCGTGTGAACTCCTCCTGCGACTCAGGCGTGTTGCCACGTTTATCTGGATGGAGCTGCAGCGCCTTCCTGCGGTACGCCTTCTTGATCTGCTCGGGCGTAGCGTCCGCCTCTATACCCATGAGTTCGTAGTAGACCATACTGGCCACCTTCTTCTTGCCGGGCGCCATGATTTACGCGGAACGAGGTTGTTCTCTACAGGCGCTCGAGGTCGGCGCCTCCGGTGTAAGTTCTTGGTGTCAAGGGGGTCTCACATGGCACCTGTTTCGATTAAGTGCGAATTGATGTGGGATGGGTAGGCCGTTTCAGACTGGTTTTGTGTATTAAGTACATCTCTCAGCCAATCAGAGGAGTGCGAATCCAAAATTGGCCCTTTTAGTTCCATGCCGTGGCGACCTTACGAAGCCGCAGTGGAATAGTGAAATCAAGTCACTTGTGGACAATCACGATGGCGTCGTCAATGGACTGGGTGGCAGTGGACAAGGGCATGCTCTCGCGGTTGCTGTACCCGAATCCTGTGTGCTTGCTCTCGGTACTCAGCAGCGATGGCAAAGCGCGTAGCCTCATGACCATCACGTGGCTTACGGCTATCAACAACCAGGCATGTATCTCTCGCTTTAGACACAATTTGCCTTTTGCCCATGGTGTTTTGTGGCTTGAGGACAGGGAGGATTTATCTGCTCCATGAACGCCACTCGATACACAGCCAACTTCATGAACCACTCAGGAGCCGTCTTCGGTCTGTTGCATGACCTACTTGAAGCTGCCGGTCTTTCATTGACGTTTTGCCTTTTCCATCTTTGTAGTGCTAAACGTGCCCGTTCGAGGGATGGAAGAGCTGGTATTGGCAATTGGCAGCAGTACTGGGGCCGACGCGGATAAATTTGAGCAACTCAACATTCCAATCTGCGCCCCAGGAGGTGGGGATTTTGTGGAAATGGTGAAAGACACCCACGACACTGAGAAGCTAAGAAAGAAGCAGAAATTGTCCAGGAAGGAGCTGGCGCGACAGGAAATTGCTAGCGCTGCGGCTCAGAGTGTCGCTCTACGGGACTGCGTGGCACATCTATTGTGTCGTGTGGATACTGTGACGGAAGATGACGGCCATTTGCTGCTTCGATGCACGCAACTCGCTGGATGGACTCGACGAGGCTACTGGGACGGCCGAAATTTCATACCGCAGGACGGGATGAACGTGGAGCCGTATCTGACGTTCCTTGGCAGTAAAGAGTTTGGCTACGTGATGCCAACAGGCTCCGTTACATCGCCGACGGGATCAGCAGATGCGTGATCGATCACAGGCTCCGTCTGAACTTCAGCGACTAGCCGTCGTCCGAGTCCAACCAACACGAGTCGTCCTTTGTCTGATATTTTGCATGTCTGGTGATTCGCTAGGAGGCGCCTGTCCTCTGTTGCACACAAGAGGCGTTGGCGTGGCATGGAGTCGTGCACCTGCAGTTAAGCTCAACTTTGCACCGGCGACGGTTTGTTTGCTTGACAGAAACCGTTTGAACGGCGCTATGGCGTTGCTCGAGAAAGAGTGGAGAGCTCCAGCAGCTTCCTCTAGCCGTCATTGATAATCTACAGCAGTGCCCACGTTCACATCTCAAAAGTATCCATTCGAGACGCTCTACATCTTCGATTCCATGGACAGCAACATGCTTTTCGCGACACTCCGGCCATTGGCTTTCGAATGCGCTTCGGAATTCGTTGGGACGTTTGTACTTGTCTTCTTGGGCACTGCAAGTATCGCCACCGCTGCTTTTACAGGTCCAGATTCCTCGGATTTGGCGGTTCAGCAGATCACAATTGGCTGGGGTTTTGCCGCTATGCTCGCAACATTCATCGCGTCGCCTGGCTCCGGCGCCCATTTGAACCCTGCAGTGACCCTGGCGATTGCATTGTCACCACACAGTGGAAATGGGTTCCCAAAGCGTAAAGTTCCGGCGTACATGCTGTTTCAACTGCTCGGCGCAACATTCGCCGGAGTTGCAGTGTATCTTATGTTTGAGTCGGCAATCAAGCACTTTGAGAACCGTCTGGATATCAATCGGGGGTCTCCAAGTTCTTCCCTCTCGGCAGTTGCCTTTGGGGCCTCCTTCCCGCATCCTTGGCTTGTGGGCGCTAAAGATGAAGACGCAAGTCATTGGAATGACGTTTCTGCTGGAGGAGCGTTTGTCCTGGAGGTGCTGGGCACTCTTCTTTTCGTTCTGGTTCACAGAGTTGTCCGCCAGCCTGTCCAACCTACTGGTATCGCTGCCTTTACTAGTTCAACTGCGTCAGGAGCAAACGAAAAGATCGATCTCCCGTTGCCTCGAATGCCGTGTAACCCATTGGCTCCACTTTACATTGGCTCAGCTTTGGCAGCATTAACAATGGTGATGACACCGTTCACACAGGCGTGTTTAAACCCGGCGAGAGACTTTGGCCCTCGTGTAGTAGCGGCCATTGCAGGTTGGGGGTCTGTTGCATTACCAGGTGAACGACCCGAGTCCTGCTGGATCTACTTGGTTGGACCATTCGTCGGTGCACTGGCGGGTAGTATGCTCCACGACTTTGTGATCCATCCGGGGCTACAGACACGAGACGAAGTTGCCGCTGCTTGGATGCGCCACCAACAGATCGAAGGTGAAGCGATCCTAGAGCAACTGGAAAAAAGCCAAACGTTGCTGAGTGTGACCGCTGCCGGCGGAGGCTTCGAGTCCTTGGCAACGCGAGGACTGCACCACAGCGACTACCGTGACAGCCCCACCCTGCACAACTTTCGTCTGTCATCTCCCGGTCACTTACACGCCTACGCAGGTTGAGACGAGGTGTGAAAAAGTTGCAGGTTGATCGACCAAATGTATCCACGTGTGTTTTAAACAGTGTCAATTTTGGACTGTATTTCATAAATTGAAGTGGTTCGCACTTAATCGAGCGTATACATTATACTACGCGGTTTTGTTTGTTTCGTATCCTCGTGAACGATGCGCGCAGTTGTATCCGCTCAATTTAGCAACTGAAACTCTCTTCAGTAGTATCGCTACCATTCCGCTCTGATAATAGCGACAGCGATGCCACCCGTCGACAAGAAGAAGCACTATGAGCTGGTGGTGCAGGACGATTTCCTAGTGGTGCTACACCCAGTACACCCGCTGAGTCTGCAGATTCCGCGCTCGTCGTCCACTGACGCGTCGCTGGGACTCAGTGTGGAGCATGTCGAGGATTTTCAGCACGTTCACGGCCGGCGCATGGCCTTCGACGCTATCTACGGCGTGTTCTGGCTGCTTCGCGGGCCCTATCTGGCTGTAGTGACGCAGTCCAAGGTGGCGGCCAAGGGAGTGAAGGACACGGAGATCCGCGTTGTGCAGAAGCTCGAGTTATTGCTCATTCCGACACAGAACCTGCCCATACTCACGCCTCAACAGGAACAGGATGAACGCATGTACATCGACATGATAACGAGCGATATTGAGACCCAGAAGCTGCATTTTTCCAAGGATTTTGACCTCACACACACGCTACAGCGTACGCGATGGACTTCGAATTGAAACTTGGCAACGCTCTGACGCATTTTTGTTTCTGAATGTAGGGGTTGCGGCGTTTGATGGCAAAGTTGGCAGCATTGCAGCGCGTGCAGACGAGCGTTTCTTCTGGAACAAATCGCTCTGCTCGCCCTTCATCGGTACGTTAACTGGGGAACAATTTTTTCGCAATAATGCTGACTTTTGCTGCTGTCATGACAGAGCAAAAGTTTTTCGAGTGGGTGACGCCCATGGTACAGGCCCATGTGGAGTTGACAGAGCAGCTCACGGTGAAGGATAAATCTTTTCGTATTCTGTACATTTCTCGAAGGTCGTGCAAGCGCCAGGGAATGCGCTTCACAATGCGTGGCATCGACGACGATGGCAACGTGGCAAACTTCGTCGAAACGGAGCAGATTTGTCTGTTCGAAGACGGCAAACAGACGTCGTTCGTGCAGATTCGTGGCTCCATCCCCGTGTTCTGGAGCTCTCCGGTGACCATGAAATACGCACCTAAAGTGTATCAGGCTGGCGACGTGGAGCGCGATGTGGCTGCCTTCCAGAAACACGCGTACGAGTTGATGTCGCTGTACGGTCGAGTGCTGTTCGTGAACCTCATCGACAAGAAGAAGGAACAGCTCAAACTGGGCGAGGCGATGGCCAAGACTGTGGCCGACGCTGCCACAAAAGACTCGCACATCCTCGCAGCTGTGCGTCTCGTGTGGTTCGACTTCCATCGAGAGTGCCGCAACATGAAGTGGGGGAACCTTGAGAAGTTGATCAAGCAGGTCGACGATGATTTCCTCGATCACGGGTGCGTTTAGACACGTCGCTGTCTGGTCGACGTGTTAAACCTGACTGTGCTGTGTGATTCAGATACTTTTGCAAGAGCGCAGATGGCACTGTCGTCAACAAACAGTCCGGCGTGGTGCGCACCAATTGTATGGACAACTTAGACCGCACTAACGTCGTCCAGGTGAGCTCCTCGAGTCTCTTTTGGACTGGGAACGTACGCTAACCGTTTTTACTTTGCCAGTCGCTCTTCGGACGACGTAGTTTGATGTTGCAGTTAAATGAGACCGAGGCGCTGCAAGGAAATGTGCTGAACTCTCCGTTCGAAGACTTTGAACGCACGTTTAAACGCGTGTGGGGCAACAATGCGGACGCTATCAGCCTCTTCTACGCCGGCACGGGGGCGCTTAAGACGGACTTCACGCGCACGGGCAAACGCACCAAGAAGGGAGCGCTCATGGATGGCTACAACTCGTGTATGCGGTACATCAAGAACAACTTCATGGACGGATATCGGCAGGACGTGCTGGATCTGTTGCTGGGACGCTTCACAGTCTCGCGCAGTAAGCCGTCGCCGTTCCAGACGCAGGGCGAAACACTCGAATCAGTGCTGACCAAGATCATGGGAGTCGTGGTCGCGTTTTTCCTTGTGGAAACGTACCGTAGTGGCGGCCAAAACTACATGTTTGAGAGGCTGTTCCGCTCGGTGCTGCTTACACTGCTCATCTGTGTCGGCGTCTTCAGTGTGCTGGTCAAGAAGGGCAACTCACTCGGCCAGAAGCTGGTGCGGCTGCCGAAACTGCGTCCACAGGACGGCTGCATGACCACCTGGAAGCGCTAGGCCGCTTCTTGCGGACGATTGCTCAGGGAGATGGTCAAGCGGGATCAGTTTAAGAGGCTTCGTGTGCCACTTCAACGCGAAGTTGACATTGGGATGACACTCAAGCAACAGAGTCAGATGGATTTACTGTTAGTGCAAAAATTTGACTTTTGACTGGACAGTTCGATATTCGCCAGAAGCGCAACATGCTGCATCCAAACAAGTCGATTGCGGAATCAGAAGATTGTCGGTTTTAATGTAAGAGGGACATCAGATTTACTACATATCTGTAAATCTGAGACCCATGCATGTCCCTCTTAGCCGTTGCCAGCAATCGATCCAATTTGCTGGATAATATTGAGAGACGACGAAGGTCCGACACGTCACCCTATGCAATAAATGACTCGAGTTCTGTATGGAGGCGTAGACATTGACCCCCACCACCGCAAAGTTCCACTTTTCCCGTTTATTGGGCGGAATAGCCGGGCGCTTGTATTCTTCTCAAGCCCCGTGCGATCGCCAGCCGCCGCTGTTAGCTTGGCTGAGCCAAGAAAGACAACACGCCCGTCAGCATTGTGGCGGTGCAGGTTGCAGTTCTCGGTGCGCGACCAAGTCGCCTGCGTCACGGAGGGGCATTGCAGTACTTGAAGTAGATGGTGGACTTTTGCTTCACGAAACGCAAGACTTCTCCAAACATAGTTTAATCAAGTCAACGTTTTTAGTGTTAAGAACTTCAGAAAACGGTTAAGGGAAACGTAGTGAGTAATCCATACTGAACGCAAGATGTACGTGTGTAGAAACGAGGCGAAAGTGGTTAAACCTACTCGCTGCCTCAAAAAGAAACTGCAACATGCAAAGAGACACGAAACGGCGTTTCATCAATAAGATTGCGGTCGTGCATATCTAATACTATGTTGACGAAACCAAACGGATTTTATGCATCTTTATCTATGTCTAGCAACTTTCAGAATAGATAACACTCTATATTTTGATTTATATAACGCAGAGCTGCTTGCGTATCTGTCTGACGACCGCTCATCACTTGTATTGGAGGCGCAACTTCTTCTTGGCTCACTTTGCAATTTACTCGACCAAGCTCATATAGCTGCCACTCACAAGCATCCAACAGAAATAACCATGCTGGCTCGTTCTTCTCTCCGACTACCTAAGGCCGCCCGCTGCATCAGCTCGTCTACGCCAGCTCGTGTACTACAGCAGACACCCGCCACCTCGTCGTCAGGCAAGACGAACATTCCACAGGTCTCGCAGGGTGAGAAGGCTTGGTGCGATATCTACGGTGTGGACTACGAGAAGCAGATCGCCGAGGCCCTGCAGGAATCCCCCGCTGCCGCCGAGGGCGCCGCTAAGAAGGTCAACTACCCCACAGCTGGCGTTCACTCCTCTGCTAAGCCTCAGAGCAAAACCGACATCTGGAACGTCGTGTTCGGCGAGAAGAAGTGAAGCGATCGTCTGACTTACAGAGAAGAATGGGAGGAACCCTCCCGCCGTATTTCTATATTATCGACCCCTAAGCTATCGTAGCAGTAGTAAACCAGCTCCGTATCAATACATCCATGCTGATTGTCCCTATCACTCCTCTTCATCCGCTTCTTCGAGTGTGAAATCGTACGGCTTCCATTGGCTCTTGAACGTCTGCGTGAGTTTCACCTCTTCAGGCTTTGGCACGACGCAGAACTTCCAGTTGGCGCGTCGCGGCATCTCCAGCAAACACGACGACGCATGTCGACCGAACTGAACGTAGTGTTTGCCTTCAACATGGTGCAGTAGCCGTGTAGTGCCGCCTTGTCCGTCAGGCAGTTCGACATACAGGAACGGCTTATCGTCCGTCTGTTGACGCAGCAACTCCAGTGGCCCCGTAGCAGCGTCTGTCTTCTCGTCTGCATCTCGTAGCAACTCGTGAAATTTGACGTGGTACTTCTCGCCCTCCGTCTCAAAGATGCGGCGAGCAGCGCCTGCCTTGTCCTTTGGCACGCCCACAACCTGCAAGTGGCAGTGTGTGGCGCCCAATGTGGCCACATTTCGATCAATTACCAGCAACTCCTTGTCTTGCGAAGCGAAATAGCGACGTAGCGCCGCCTTGAAGCGCTCCATTTCTCTCCACGTATCGTCGCTGAGCTTAAGCGTTGATGCCTCGTGTGCAATTGGCACAATAAGCAAATGATCTCCACAGATTGCACCTTTAGGCATGGCAAGATAAGCCTCCTGACCGATACTCACGATCAAGTGACGCTCAAGTGTCGGCGTCGACAGACAGAACCAGCACTCGGTACGATCCTCCACAAGCGGGCGGTTATTTCTCTGCTGCTGTCCTGGGAGCAGACCGCCTTTGCGTTGTCCTTTAGCTGCTAATCTCTGGTCGTAAAAGAACTGCGCGCCACCTCGACTTTGCGCTGTGAGCTGCTCGATCTGCTCGGCAGAGAGACCGCCAGTCGCAGCGGGGTCGACTTTCCTTCGCTTTGCATCGGGCTCTCCTGCTCGCGTGGCTTCGTCCAGCATCGCGTGAAGATATGGGTTCTGTGTCGTGCCTGCGGGGATATCCACATGCTGACGTTCGACTTCGCTCTGCTGTGCAAACGGCACGACCTGCAGTGCGTGCAAATACTTGCGAGTCTTGTCCTTAAGCTTGTTCACACCACTGAGACCAATGAGACGCGTGAGTTGCTTTCGTCCAGTGCCGGTCACTTCACTCACATACGGCAGGCGTTGGTAGAAAACGTCTCCACGAGTACCGTCACCTCCGCGACTCGTAATGTGATATTTGGGATGCACTTGTTGTACAAGCTCCTTGATAGCCGTACTGCCACGCATCGCCTGTAAACCGTGAGGAAGTTGCTGCTCTGGCAATAAAAGCTGGAAACTTGTAGGATATTCCGCTGTGAACAAGAAGTCCACATCTCCTTGGTCTCCATTGGCAAGAAGCTGTTGCACCAGTGCATTAACAGAATCCTTCGAGTACGTCAGCAGCTTCCCCTTCTCATCCTCTTGGCCATGAGTCTCCGTACCCGACACATAAGCTACCTTCAATCCTGCAATCTGTCAATAAATTTAGCAATACAAACCATTAATAAATCTCCCCCACCAACTCATTCGGCCTGCGTTCACTTACGGTGGCAACTCCTGCGCCTGCCAGACAGAAGAAACTCTCGCCAACCTCCACAGGCTCCGATAGTTGTTCTGTGGTGTTTAGTTCGTCAAAAATATCAGTTTGCTTCGCGTCTTCTTGCCATGAACGTGCCGTCTCGTGTGCAGGTAGGAAATACGTGGGCAGCGGTGTCTGTTTCCCGCCTCCCGTCAAGTACTCGACCGGCAGAGGGAAGCAGCGGCCTACACACACAAGCGCCTCAAACGGCTTGTCCTTGGCGGCTGCATTTAGCTTCCGCGCGCGCTCAAACAGCAGCTCCCAGTGGCCCTGCACGGCGCCACATAGCAGCACCTTGGGCATTTTTCAGCAGTGGCCCCAAGTACGTATACTTGAGTATACACTGTACTCTTCAAACTGCACAAAGTATACGTGTTTCAAAACTGATTCCATGGAATCAGAATTGCAAACTTGATCCAAAAGTAGGTTCATTGTTGAAGCGCAAGATGGCACTGGCCCAGCACTGGAGCGACGGGCGTGAGGACCCGCTGGAGGACACTGCGTCCGCGCTGTTGGCTGCTAGCGCATCGGGGGATGAGCACCGAGTTGCGAGTCTTCTAGAACAGGGTGTCGAGGTCGATTTAGTGCTAGCCAACCGCTTCTTCGGGGAGACGCCGTGTGAACAGGCACTTGAGCACGGCCATGTGGAAGTCGCGGAGCTGCTGCTGTCCGCTGTGTTGAGCAGCCCTCAAGGTGCGGAGCAGATCTCAGAGCTGTTCTGGCGGCGACTACTATCAGCAGCGCTTCGCAGTCATCAGCTGTCGGTGTTGGGCTTCGTTCTGAGCTATGAGCCGGACTTGAACTCGGACGTCCGTCACAGCGAGAAGCCGCTGTTCGATGCCGCTCGGGCCGATGAGGCGGAAATGCTTAAGATCCTATTGGCTCACGGAGCTGATGCATCGGGTACAGACCCGGTGGGCAGCACGTTGCTGCATATTGCAGCGAAATATAGTGCCATGAACGTGTTGCAGGTGCTCAGAGCCTCCAGTGTGAGGGAAGACGTGAACGTCGGAGATTCGCTCGGCAATACCGCGCTGTATTATGCAGCGGATGGTGGTCAACTGGAAGTTGCCAGAGTGTTGTTTGAGATGGGAGCGGATGTGAATCTGAGCAATAGGAGACTCACGACGCCGTTGCACATGGCGGTGAGCAAGGCGAGGCTGGGGATGGCCAAGTTGCTGCTGGAGGAGGGACAGGCTGATGTTGATGCGACGGATTTCCAGGGGAATACGGCATTGCTGCTTCTTGCTGCGATGACGTCGTCAGATTTGGATGAGAATGTCAGCGATAGCGAAGAAGAGGAGGAGGAGTCTGTGCAGCTGCAAATGGCCAAGCTGTTGATTGAATATGGCGCCGACGTGAACGCGGCGAACACGGCCACTGCTACGCCGCTGCACCAGGCTATGCGTCGCTACGACTTTGATCTCGTGGATGTTCTGCTAGCAAACGGTGCAGATGTGAATCAACGCAATCGCTTTGGTGATACGCCACTGCACCAAGCCGCACGCTTGGCGCTGTATCCAGTTATGTGGGAAAAGCTGCTGAGGCACGGCGCTAACCTCAGCGCTGAAGATAGAAGCGGTCAAACACCGATGGAACTGATCCCAAATAATGTGCTTCGAGCTTCAATCGCCGAAGTTGTGGCGAGTTTGACGGACACAAAGGACCAGAAGTGAGTGGGAAGGCTATTACATTCTGTTGCATTGTTGTCCTTTGACGATATTAGTATGTGCATCAGCTTCAATTCAAATTGATAAAGTGAAAGTTGCCTTAACAAAGCTCTGCTTCAAGTAGAATTTATGGTGTCTTCTCTGTTGCAAGGTTCCCTATGTTACAGCTGATCCTATGGTCAGCCAATCAGATTTCACTGATTTCCCGATGGTGGTCAAACCCGTAATTTACTGACGTAGTGGAGCTCTCCACAATATTTGGCACAACGGACGCCGGAACGCTCTTCTCGCCCGCAGCATGAGCATCCACGGTTGGAGCATCGAGGTGCGCCACCCTGTTATAGTATCTCTTTTATCATCGCATAGTAACAGCATGTTTGGTGTCATTGCAGGAGGTCTATGAGACCGTGAAAGGCTTCGGCTTCCGAGGTCGATGCCTCACTTTGCTGTTAGCTACGATGCACTTCTTCTTCGTGCTAGCCATCCCCGGTGAGTAGACCGATTAGTATTACTTCAGTGACGCAATGGTTTTTGACCTTTTCCCTGCAGTTTTATGCTGTCTTCGGGTGGATAATCTGATCTCGAGCTCATGGACGGTGGTGTTCACTCCGTTATGGATTCTCGACGTCATTTACTATGGGAGCTTGGTCTTCTTGCTCGTGTTCTCGGATGGCAAATTGTATACATTCTGCAAGCGATTGTTGCTACTGGTTGTGCAAATATTCATCGCCATGAAGTTGGATGGAGTCGTAGACTGGAGTCTTGTGATGGTATTGACACCATACTTTACGTGCGAAGTGCTTAACTTGCTCGAGGTGGTGCTTGGTGGTGTATTGGGACATCAGATGCTTGTTAGCGATAGTATTGGTGCTAGCGTTTCTCAGACGGAAGGGATCGAGACAGAACGGCAGCTATTGGTGAAGGCCGTGATGCGTAAAACTGGTTTGACGCTGCTGCGTATCGTCCAGGCGCTGTTGATTGGAGTGAAGGTGGATGGGAGTCTCGATGGTGTAACCTGGTGGCGTGTCATGACTCCTGTGTGGTTAGTGGCTGCTTATCTCTTCTGGTATCCGATCAAGAAGTACATCAACTCGACTTCAACAAATCGACTGCTGGATGCAGTATTCACTGCGGGCGTCATCTTCATGCTGGTAGCACCATTCTTCTTGCTAGCAGATCGCCTGGAGGGCAAGAGATTATCGAGCTTTAACATCGTTATGCCATGGATGTTATTGGTACGTGATCAACCTAACCTGTCCCTATTACTCCAGCCTGTTCATGAATCGTTTGTGTTTGTTGTTAGATGGGAGCCTCGTTCCTGTTTCTGTTGTGTGCGATCACACTGGCGGGTGCTGAACGAGTTATTCGAAGTGGCGTTCAACCTACGCGTCGGCACACTCAAAGCTCTCCCTACCGTCACGACTACGTTGCCGTCGACATGGACTAAGTCGTCATAAACTTGTGGAAACACGAGAGTTTTGTAAATGGGAAGGCCAACATGTTGGCGTTGCTCTGTTTTAATAAAGAGTTCAAAGCCGAGTGTTTCATTTGTTGCTCTTCATGGTCAGCTGTTTACTTCAGCTCAAGATGCAGGCATGACATTTCAACTACCAGTCACTTACAGCGGCAAATAAAAAATGGGGTGCAACGCGACGGTGCTCTGGTTTGCCTTGCACATTTCTGCCAGCTCCTTCTCCACCTTTTCGGCCTGCGCATACCGTTTCGCAGCACCGGCCTCGCGCTTCTCCCAGTTGGCCAGCAGATCACCATACGCACGCAGCACGCGCGCAAACTCGACACGATCTGTGGCAGACAGCTTCGACTCGCGCTCAAACGTCTCGACTACCGTAACAAACAGACCTTCACTCGTCACAGCCTGACCCATGGCATGGCTACCTCTCGCGATCTGGCCAAGAACTCGAGTCATCGCAAGTGCGCTGCCTCCAACGCCAGTCTGCTCAGCCTGTAGGGTGCTCAGAGCCTTGCCCAGCCATTCCATAGCCTCTTCAGGCTTGTTCTTGCGCAGCAACAGCTCTCCAATGTTCGTCTCGACCCAAGATCCGAACGGAGCGTTCGGTCCTGAAGCCAGCAGCGCGTCCTTGCCTTCCTCAGCCGCAATCTTCTCGACCCACTCCAGCGCCTCCTTATACAGCACTTCAGCTTGGTTCAAACTCACCAACTGGGCATCAGTCGGAGGCGCCTTAGGGTCCGCCTTGGGATCTCTCTCCAGCGCTCGACTGCTAGCCACTGACAGTGACGCATACTGCGCCAACAAGTAGGGAATCTCGCGTCCTAGCTGCACCTCGCTGGCCTTCAAGTTGCTGGTTTCTTCGTGTTTCAATACCACATATTTCTTCTCTCGCAGCGTCTCCACAGCTTGAACGAATAGCGGATCCTCAACAGCCTTGGCCAGTTGCTCGGCGCCTCCACTCAGTTCCGTGCCAATGAGCTCGTACAACGTCCACTTAAGCGGCACCGTCGCATCCTTAGGGAATTGATTGGCGAACTCTTCCTTCTTGCACCAAGCTTTCGCCTCATTGGGCAGATTGGAGCGCAGCAGCAGACGCAACATGCGTTCGTGCTCAGCCATAGGCCACTGCATGACGTCTCCACGTTCCTGCATGATCTTTGTGGCCTCGGCCACGTCGCCCTTCATAAAGAGCGTGGACACTAGATGACGCAATGCTGCCTGGAGATACACGCTGTGGAAACCCATGGATGAGCGACAGATCTCCACCGTGCGCTGGAGCTTGGGCAGAGCCTTCTCGGCGCGAAGGTGGTTGGGCAGAAGCCGTGCCTCGTCGCTTCCCTGGCCTAAAAGAACCTGTGCAGCGCCCTGGAATTCTGGTAGCGAGTTGAATAGCTCACGCTCCGCCTGTGTTTCCTCAGGCGCTAAAGGGAGACAACCAATACCCACGGAGGGATCGGCGAAAACGTGACGGGGTGGAGCCGTCGAAGCGAATCTGGAGCTGAAACTTGGACCATAGGAGAGAGAAGACGCTGGTCTACGAGATGAAACTGCGCGTGGTAGCAGAGGACGCGTATAGCGCCCAGAAGACAGCAATGATCGCAGAGGAAGAGACATAATGTTATCGCTTGTGAGCCTCTCGGTGGATGGCACAATGATCCAACTGGGCGGGTAAAAAGTACTAATCCCTTGAAACACGATAGCGGAATTGAAAGGTAGTAGCTGATGAGACAAACACGTTGAAGTGACCTGTCATAACCGTTGACAACGTTTTGATATTTGCCATCGAGCTAGTCTGTGGATTCCACTGCTGCAGCCTCGTCACGTGCGCGTTTCTTCTGTTTCCAGAGCTGCGCGGCCTGCAGCAGCTTGAGGTGTGACTGGGCCTGCTCATCGTCCGGGAAAATGTAGTCCGTGTACTCCTCGAGACCCAACTCCGTCTGCAAATAACCAAAGTTAGAACCAGTCAAACAAGTTAGCAAACATAACCGATAGCGTACCCCGTCCTGCGCGTACGCCATGCGTTGCTTGGTAACCTTGCGGGGCAGCATCTCGCTGACCTTCTGGATCATCTTAGCGTTTCCGCCCTTCTTCTCCATCTCCAGCCACGTCTCCATACACAAGACGCGATCCTCCTTCAGTTCCTCGCCACCCTGTTCCTTCATATACCGCAGCGCACGTTCAAACACATCACGCGCGGCCTCCAGATTCTCCCCTTGCTTTTCTTTATCATCCGGTGACGAGGCCTCGAACTGAGCGAAACTGATCCAGACTTTCACGTGCTTGGTGCGCTCCAGCAGTCGCTCATACAGTGCTCGAGTGTTCTCACGCTCGTCATTCTCAATCTCGAAATCAATATAGTGCTTCCAGATCATCTCGGGCATGTCCAGCACCGGTTGTTTGATTGCCAGCTCGTAAATGGCACGAGCACGCTCCACTTCGCCCACCTGTCGCTCGAGCATCGCGTACTTCTGCCAAGTTTCACAGTTCTGCGGGTCGAACTCGAGGAAGCGCATGTAAATCTTGCGGCAGCGGTCAATCTCGCCCATCATGAGCTCCAGTTCGATGTAGTTAGTATAGAGTTTCTTCTTGGGGCAGCGACCTAAAGCTTCACCCAGTGTCATCCTTGCTCCCTGTACGTCGCGCTGCCGGATGAGGAACTTGGCGTATAGTATCCAGATCTTGGCGAATGTGAACTTATCGTGTGGAATCAGCTTCAAGCACGTCTTGTAGACCTGTTTGCAGCGCTCTGAAGAGCTGCCACTGTCGTCGTTATCGCCTGCCAAAAGCTCCTCAAACAGAGCGTACTTAATCCAGAGGTAGATGTACCGACGCCAGTATTTTTTCTCCGGAATAGGCGGCACATTGGCAATAGCACGTTCGTACACTTCACGCACGAGTCCAAACGACTGGGAGCTGGCTGCTTCGTTCTCCTCGAGCTTAATGTACTCGAGCCACGAGTCATAGTCCAGTGCATTAGCGGCCACTTGCTGCTCATACACAACTCGGCGCTTGGCAATCACCACTTCTTCAATCCTCTCCTTGTCTCCATGCTGCTTCTCAAAAGTGATAAATGCACTGTACAGCGCCGGTGCCTCCTCCTTGGGCAACGTATCCAACGCGTACTTGAACACTGCTCGTGCTCGTTCCAGCTCGCGACATCGCTCTTCAAAGAGCGCAAAAGCCAAGTAAATCTGCTCTGTCTTCTCGTCACTACGCAGCTCCTCTAGCGCGCGCTCGTACACTCTTCTGGCCAGTGCGAGCTGCTTCTGCGACTTCTCTTCCCACTTGGCGTACTTAATGTACGCCTTTTCACCTGGATGACACATGACGTAGCGCTCATACAGTGCGCGTGCGCGTGGGATATCCTTGGCACGCATCTCCAACTTGATGTACGAGTACCAGGCCTGATCGTCAGGCTGCCACTCCATCCAGCGCTCGAATACACGTCGAGCACCGTTAAGATTGCCCAACATCTCCTCCATAAAGGCGTATTTGTACCAGAACTGGGCCACACGAGGCAGCAGCGTTACGGCGCGATCCCATACATTGCGCGCGTGGTTGACAAACTTGTGTCGCATCTCCATCTCGGCGTATTTGAGCCAGATCGTGGGGGCCTTATAATCAACGTCTAAAGCGCGCTCGAAGACGCTGCGGGCGCGTGCGAACTCCTCCTGACTCTCTTCCCAGGTTGCATACTTCATCCAAGTCCCAATGTGGTGACGTTGACGACGCAGCTCGTCTTCGAAGGCCTTACGCTTGCCCATGCGGTACTCGGCCAGCTCAGCGGCATCCGTGATACGACGACGCGGAGGCTGTGCGAGCTCCTCCTTGCGCTGGTTGGCCTCCAGCAAGATCTGCTCGGCCGTGATCTGGATGGGCGCTGGCGCGCGGTTCTTCACCACGCTCTTCTTCATCATCGTGGACGACGAGGCGTGAAGGGAGGTGGCGTAGAGCAGTGCTTGGCGAAGAGCTAAATGGACGCGAACTTAATGGGTAAAAGCAAACTTAATTATAAAAGGACTTTATCGGGGTGTAAATGTACGATTCTAATTTATGTAGTGTTTTGCACATGAATTGAGGTGAAATGATTAATCCAGGGAAGTTGTTGAAGTGGCAGTCGTTCGTTTACAGACGAAAGTGATGACGGACTTGACGGATTTGTTGCCGATTCCGATGATCGCGCAGCTGATCTCCATTGTTGTCCCAGAGCTGCGCTTGCCGCGTTGGGATTGATGTACTACGCCAGCCTGACGGCCAGGTGAGTGAAGAGGTGTCCTACACTTTCTTCTCATCGCTCGGGCGCCGTTATGTACTACATGTACTAATAACTTTGATGCTCACTGCCTTCTGAGTCGATGTACATAGAGCGCAGAGAACAGCGTCGATCATCCTGCCCAGCCCAACACGGTGTTGGCAACACCGCTGGCAAAATGTCATGGAGCCGATTCCCTCAAGCACATGATCAGCGTTTGACTGCCAGGCCCGTTTACGCCATTTTGGTGGATTGAATGTGGTAACAGCCATATACAACAGCGTCCACAAAAACCATATTGGAGATACTGTGGCTATTCGAATCGTTTTCAGAGGTATCCGCACCATATCCAAACACTTTGTGGCACGATGTGCAAGGAAGATCTAAAAGTGGCCACGATCTGTTGGGACATCCCACCCCTGCCGCATTTTATATCCAAGCAATAGTGCGTGATCCGGCAGTCCAACGCATTCGTTTTCGCATCACATAAATAACTACAGGTTTTTTAAACGGCCTCAGAGTGCGTTTCGCCACCATGCTAGACGAGTTGTATCGAATCTCACAGGCTGTTGACGAAAGGCATTGCACAACCTGCTGGGCGGCATCAATGGCCTCACTTCCAGGCTCTGGCCAAGGACACTGCCTTCCGCCGCACACACTGGGTATTTTGCATTGTTACGTCGGTCCGTTAAGTTATCAGGTTAAATTCTTCCAAGCATGCGGATACATGTTGCAGTGGCAACGGCGCTACTGAGACTGCACACTACACAGGCCAGCGATGTGCTGCGGCAAGAGCTCTGGGGGCTCTCATCGGGTCTGGCCTACTACGTCGCAGTGAACATCGGGTCGCCAGTGTACTCTTCGGGATCAGGCAGCTCCAGTTCTAACTCATTTAACCTGTTACTGGACACGGGTTCGGCCAACACGGCGGTTGTCACGGCCGAGTGCTGCTCTCTGACCAACGAGAATCTCTACTCTTGCTCGGACTCGAGTACGTGTGTGGATGAAGGCACCAGTGTCAGTGTGAGCTACGTCAGCGGAGCATGGAGTGGCGAAGTGGTGCGGGACACTTTCTCCGGACAGGGTCTGGGCACCGTCGAGAACATGCAATTCGCCGAGATTACGGCCGAAGACAGCTTCATCTCGTCAGGTTACGATGGTATCATCGGTCTGGGATACAAATCTATTGCGTCGCCCTCTAGCGACCCGCCGACGCCGTATTTTGACACAGTTGAGAGTGCCGACGGACTGGAAAATATCTTCAGTCTGCAGATGTGTGGCGCGTTACAGGCGCTAAGCTTGAGTAACTTTTCGACTGAAGATAGTTCGTATCTGTACGCGGGGGAATTTCTACTTGGAGGAACGGAAGGACCGAATGGAGAGAGTTATCATAAGGGAGACATCGTGTACACTCCGTTAGTGCAGGAGAAATACTTTAATATCATTATCACGGACATTGGAGTGAACGGAGAGAGTTTGGGACTGGACTGCGAGGCGATCAACTCGCCACGATCGATCATCGACTCGGGTACCAGCAACTTGGCTTTCCCCTCCAGTGTATACAGTGCCGTCATTGCCGAGCTCAAGACGCAGGTTGAAAAAGTTGCCTCTGTTACCGACAGCTTTTTCGACGACGACTCGACCTGCTGCTCAAGTGACTGCGATCCGACCAACGCCGACTCGTTCATCTACCAGTTACCAGGACTAACGATCTCGCTTGCAGTCGATGATGATAAGTCGCAGCAGATGACGATCACCATTCCAGCTGAGTACATTTGGCGGCCAATTGTGGTATCTACGGGTCCGGGGGAATCAGCGTGCCGTGTTTTCGGCATCTCGGAGGGTGATTTTACACTGCTAGGCGACGTGTTCATGGATGGTCTCTTCACTGTGCATGATCGCGCCAATGAACGCGTGGGTCTTGCAGTGGCAGACAACTGCCCTAACGGCGTCACGTCCGGTAAGAACATCACGATTGAAGCGATGACTGCAGAGGACTCGTTTTGCGACTGTGTTGGCTCGTCGGACCGGAAAAGCAGCCTACTCAGCAGCTACGTGCCGTTCTCGGGCAAAGCCTGTTTCTTCTGGCAATGGTGGATGTACGTGGTTATTGTGGCTATCGTCGTTATCATCCTAATGATGGTCGCATACGGATATTACTGGTGGAAGCGGCGTAAACTGATGCGTCAGCTTGAGGCTCTACAGAACCAGAACCAACCACAAGTGCAGCGAAGTTTGTATGCCAGTGACCGTCTTGACCGCAACCTGCTGCATACTCCAACGCAACCTAGCTCTGTGTATGTCGTCGGTGCCTTCACACCTCCCCGGACTGCAGGTCCAATTGTGAACGGTGGAGCACCAGCTACTACAGGATACGTCTTGGCATCGTCGCCGTCAGTTCGCTTTAACGCCAATACGAACGGGGCTCCTGCCACTGCTGTACCCGGTCGAAAGACATAAAGTATCATCTCCAGGAACATCTTAGACAACTAGTCTCACAGTACCATATTATTAACGACAATCAAACTAACGTATTGAAGTTTTCATTTAAATTTAAACTTTGAACGTTCGGCCTTATCATTTTGAAGAAATGTAGCTGAAACGATAAAAGTAGCACTGTACGTGAAATTTGCCATGAATATAAAAAAAAAATACACAACATCTACTTATCCATTTTTGTACAAAAACTTAGAGGGGACCAGTACAACGGCTACAGCTTCTAATCCAAGTCTGCTTAAGCACGTAGCATCTTCTTGCGCGACTCGGACACTCCACATCGCGTGGCGTATGCTGTCAATTCCGTTCGCACGTTCAGCTGCGTTGCCTCAAAGTCGATCGTGCAGTCCGGCAGGTCGCTGTCGATGGCATCTTGCAACACACCCGTACACGTCGGGTTGGCACAAATTGCTGGCATCTGCTGCTCTGTGGGCTTGCCGGTGAATGGGTAGATGGTGTATCCCGTATCGTCGGCGCACGTCTTGGCGTCAGATAGTAGCGGGAGCAATTTAAAGACGAGAGTCATAGTACCGCAGGTCTCGGCTTTGACGAGGGTGGGTGTGGAGATAGCGAGAGCAGTGGCAACAGTGATGGCGATGGTAGTGGTCTTCATGTTAATTTTTCGAGGGGGGGGGGGTCAACGTAGGAGTTAGTTATTTGGTTGAGTTCTTGTTGGTGCGAGGTAAATTGGAGAGTGAATGAGTTTCCAAGCGAAGTGAAGAAGTCATTGTTAAACAATTGTAGCCAAACTAATGTCTCTAGATTATGTTGAAGTGTTCCAGCGAGTACGACAGATCCAAGGATATCGCAAAAACTGTCTGGTTAAATTTTCAGCGCGGCTTGCAGAATGAAAAAGGTCCTGCATGTATGGGCGGCAATCCTGTGAAGGACACGACTCGTGTGAATGAGCTTTTTATTTTAACTGAATGACCACATGGGATTGCTCCGAGCAAACGCGTGAAACTTTACGCACTTTAGACACAGAACCGGTTGAAGATTTGGTTTTCGACCAACGATGCAGCTAAGTGACCAAAAATTTTCGGGTCAGAATACGCTCAACGCTGGCCGACACTAAGATCACGTGGCTCAAACGAAGTGGCGAATGGAGAGTTTTTGCACTTCGATGTTGCAACATGCAATTTTTCGCTTGACGACTCGAGATATGCCAGGCACAAGTAGTACCGTTAACTTCAGTTAGCTATACCCGCACCATGTGTAAATACAGTGTTAATATCAGAGGACTGCGAATAGGAATTCATTTCTCAATAGATTTCGACATCATCTGGTCTACAAAACATGTTGAAGGTACATGTTTTAATATGTACAAGTTATTTTTTTTGCCTGCTTTTATTTAATAAGCGTTCTCTACCTAACACCGAATTTAGAGTTGACTTCTGACACTGCCTCTTAGTATCTCCAATTGTTATCTCGGTCTACGTATTTATCCGTCCATGAGATGAGGGCTTCAACCTTCAAGTTCGACCACCACAATGTATCTTCCACCAAAAATTAATCAGACGAGTACCAACCAGCAATTTTTCCTTGCGATTGGTAAAATTTGAACCCATAGCAAGTTGGAGCTTGCTTAACGCAGCAACAACGTTCCTCGGGCGAATTTTACGAGCCCACCTCAATCACTTTCCACTTAACCTCGCACCAACAAAAACTCAACCAAATAACTAACTCCTACGTTGACCCCCCCCCCCCTCGAAAAATTAACATGAAGACCACTACCATCGCCATCACTGTTGCCACTGCTCTCGCTATCTCCACACCCACCCTCGTCAAAGCCGAGACCTGCGGTACTATGACTCTCGTCTTTAAATTGCTCCCGCTACTATCTGACGCCAAGACGTGCGCCGACGATACGGGATACACCATCTACCCATTCACCGGCAAGCCCACAGAGCAGCAGATGCCAGCAATTTGTGCCAACCCGACGTGTACGGGTGTGTTGCAAGATGCCATCGACAGCGACCTGCCGGACTGCACGATCGACTTTGAGGCAACGCAGCTGAACGTGCGAACGGAATTGACAGCATACGCCACGCGATGTGGAGTGTCCGAGTCGCGCAAGAAGATGCTGCGTGCATAAGAATCAGTAATAGCAGCTACAGATTGATACAATAAACACAACTTGGCTAGAAGATTTTTCAAAGTCTTTGTATGACGAGCTCGATTACACGCGCTTGATGCATGTATGCAGGCAACGCAGTTCCAATCTATAGAATTTTGGTATCTTCGGATGCTGGTAGGATCACCGTATGAATTGAGTGAGGGGGCATTGTAAGCGTGAACGTATTGGAGTCTGGCTGCTTGACGGTAAATGTAACTTCATCACTGTCACGATTCAGGAACTGCAAAACGACCTGGTTGTCCGGCGTCACGAATGCGCAGCGGTGGAAATCATCGAGCGTCTCTGTCTTCGGGAACTCAATGCGCTTCGATCCTGGCGGCACAAACTTGGAGAAGTGGCCCATGATGTAAAACATCGGCTGCTTGTAGAACTCGGCTCCATTCTGCTCGTCTACCAGAATCGGCGCGTCCACCATATTCTTCGCCCAGTTCGGGCCTCCATCCGTGTCCAGGAACAGATTCCAGTCGACCCAGCCGGCAGCCATGTTGTTGCTGTTCTCAATGATATCACGAGCGTAGTTTTGAGCACGTTTCCAGGCCTTGTCAAAGTCGTCCAATGCAGGACCTTTGCCAGTACCAACGAGGGACGGTAAATAACCTGAACACGCTTCCGTTCCGAGCATGAACATGTCTGGGTAAGCTTCAGAAAATTCAAGTAGATTCTTGAAATTGCCAGCACCAGGAAGGATGAAGTCAATATTCTGGTACCAGTGGAAGGCAAGCCCACTCAAGTATTTCTTCGATTCCGGGTCCTCAAATGGCGCCGATCGATCCATGATACCCGGTTTCTGGTCATCGTTGGCCATGATTTTCACTTCGGGGTGGTTTTTCTTCATCAAAGGACCAAGATTTAGCTTGATAAAGTCTCTTTCTTCTTCGGCAGTCATACGCAATGTCTCCCATTGGGAAACAGCAAGAGGAGGTTTCTCAGGTTCATTCTGAACTGTCATAGCCCAGAAGTTGATCCCTTCCTTCTTGTAGGCGTCGAAGAACTTGGAATAGTACAGTGCTAGCGCCGCCCAGTACTTCTCGCCAGGTGCTCCTTTAATCTGGCAATCGATGACCGAATCACCTCTCGTCATCCAAAGCGGAGGGGCCCACGAAGACGCGAACAATTTCAGCTCCGTCATGTTAAGTGCGCGATGTATCAGGTTGATTTTGTTCGAGTTTGGCGCTTTATCGGAAGCGATAGTGAAGTTCGTCATCTCAAAGTCGTCCACCTTTTCGTTGTATGTGTAGGTCCTCGTGGAAAAGTCCGTGGAGCCGATAGGCACTCGAGCCATGCTGTACTGCAGTCCCGACTCGGAGAAATACTGGTCTAGAGCCAAGTTTTGGAGTTTGGGTTTCAGTTTGTACAGGTTGATGGCCGCGGCGTCCGTGAAGGCGCCACCAAAGCCAAGCATGGTCTGATATTGCGTCTCCACCTCGATTGAAAAAGTTGGTTCGTCATTGGGAGACTCGTCGACGTTCATTACGGTGTACGTCAAGCGTGCACCATCCTTAGACGTCGAATACACTCCCACTTGGCCTTCTGTCAGCTTCGCGTGGCCACTGACGACAGAATCGCACTGCGTTTCATTGCAGACACAGACACCTTCCAAGACGTCTTGATAGAGTGAAGACCAGCTGGAACATGCTGCAGAAACTCCATACGGAGCAAGTAGCACACAAGACGTGAAAATAGCTAGAGGCGCAGGTACCTTCATCGTAGCACGAAACTCAAGTCCTGTTTTCGGTTTGCAGCACTTTGGGGAGTGTCTTGGTATCGTAAGCTTATAGTAGTGTTTGGCACTCAGTGTTTACTCGTTTTAGTGAGAGAGTTACGAGGTGTCGATGATTCCAACAGTACGGTGGTTTGACTGGGATAGTCTTTTCGATGGGGTCAGCCTGGCGTCATGATTCGGCCCTCGCACATGAAATCAAGGCAAAGTGAATTTCCATCATCGACGAGGGCGTGGTAGGCATTGAGATTGTTACTACATGTAGATAGTGCTGCTGGTATCCAATACAACTACTGTGATCGGAGCTGCAAGCTTTGCTTGCGTTGTTCGTCATGACGACATTTTTTAATCCTTGTTTCAACACGATGGACTTCACGTAATGTTGTGCTCGACAGTCTTTCAAAGAACAACTTTATTGGGAATTTACTACTTCTACAGCAGCGAAGGGGTCATTTAAGTGGAAAGCTTGTTAACGTCGATAACCTTGCATTCTGCGAACATGAGCTCGATACTCTCGTGAATATTGTATGCCGTCCCGTTAACGGTCACGTCGCAGTCTGGCATGTCGGCGTCTCTAGCTTCATCTAGCATCTTGTTGCAAGCTTTGCTCTTGCACAAGGCCTTCACTTCGTCCTGCGACGGCATACCCGTGAATGGGTAAAGCTTGTATCCCGAGTCGGCGGCACAGAGTTTCGACTCCGATTCCAGCGGGAGCAGCGCGAAGCTAAGCGTGGTAGGCGCACATTCCTCAGCAATGACAAAGGAGCCAACCATGGCGGCGATGGCGGCGATGCATGCTACAGTCTTCATACAGGGCAGGGTACACGATCTAGGGTATGATCTCGTTGGCGATAATGCTGAAATACTTGCTCAGGCCAGGCGTTTACGATGTCCAGTTGGCTTTAATCGATCGTGGATGTTCCACCACCCCATCCGTAAGATAAACGGTTGCTATTTGCGCACTGAATTTGTAGCATAAAGAAGTGCATTCTAACTGCCAATTTGTTGAAAATTATAGGCTGGGCAACTCCGCTGTCTGAATACTACCGACATTAGTTATATTTAATCAGTACCTTACTGTCTTTGGTTCGAACGGAATCTTCAGGCGACGCAAGTGGAAGTTGCACATCAAAACGAGTTCATTGAAAAAGACAAACGCATTGTTACGAAAGCTCAAAGCTATCAGGCCCCAACGACTTTACTTCCGCGCCACGCCGCAAGCGGTCGCGTAGAGCGTGAGCTCGTCCTTGACGTTGTATGAGACGCCGTCGTAGGTCACCGTACAATCCGGCAAGTCCAGTGCGGAAGCCTCCGCCAGCAGCTTGGTACACGTAGTGTCAGCGCAGATGAGCGTGAGCTCGTCAGCCGTAGGCAGTCCGGTAAATGGGTAGAGCGAATAGCCCGTGTTAGAAGCACACGTGTTCGCGTTGGTCAACAGCGGAAGAAACGTCACGACTAGAGAAAGCGTGGAGCATTCAGCTGCAGCAACTTGAGCGGGAGCGGTGAAGGCAGCGAGGGTCGTTGTAGCAGCAGCGATGAGACTTCCAGTCTTCATTTTGCGGTCGGGCGGTGGTGGTGGGCGGTGGTTTGACGAGTACGAAGGAAATCGCGGAATGAACCTTCGAGATGATCCATGACACCAACACCGGCACGCTCCTCGGCGATCTACTTGGTTTTAGCGTGCGTCTGGTCCGGCCGACCATGATGCGGTCAGACCTTCAACACCAGTGGAGTCGCTATGATAGCACAGAGTTTCTATTAGCCCTTTAATGCTCTTTCCTCTTCCTGCATGCTCGTCTGCGGTGGTGTTGTGGTATGTTCTGCTGCGTCAAATAGATCACGACGACGGTAAACAGGTCGATACCGTCGATTCTTGCCATATCCCGTTGCGGCACAACTTACGCATATCCAACGGTTGGCCCAACCTGAAAATCTGGACAAACGAAACTCTTTTGCTTGGCCTGGTACGAGGAGTGCTACACCCAGTCGCGCATTCACAGGTGAATCTGATCAACTAGATCAAGCAGATCAGCTTCTTTGGTGAAAGCGTGACTGGGCGTAGCACTTGATCATTGCCGCTTCAACTTACAGTTTAAAGCCAAAAGAGACGTAAAAGTTTTCATAAGCTCTATTTTTTTTATCGCATTCGATATTACATGACGGCGTAGGGCGCCAGCGTGTCAACTTGATAAGTTGATGATAAGTTGTTGTCACCTTGACCCGTTCGATTATGCCGCGCTGGCGGTTCGTTGTGCTGACATTTGAGTTCGAGATGAAGTTGTGAGATAACACAAAAACAGCAGAGAAAGCTGGAGAGGCAGTCGTTAACATGCGAGCCTTGGATACCGAGACTGTGACGTGTCTGCATGCGAAGCCGCCACACACCAAGCAGGAATGTGATCAAAAACAACGCTGCAAAGGCTTGCCACATGATTGAATGGCCAGAGTCTCCATCCTGAGGAAACTCTGACGGCGATGGTGGTCCTGGACCGACTGGAATGTCCTCAGTGTCCTCGGACGTGTTGGACGTGTTGGACGCCGCGAAACCGACGGATACCAGGAATCCTAGCGCAAGTCCACCGAAATACAGCAATGTCCTCTCGTACCCACCACTTAAGCTTTCCTTCACCGACGCGATAGTAGTGCAGGGGCAACACGTGACAATACAGCAATATGTTGGAGCTACGGAGCAGCAACAGTCGAAGAAGCTTGAGTTCCAAGTCGATCTTGAGGAATTCTGCGCCTGGTGTTGAGCAGGCCCCCGCCTGACAGGACAAGTCGGGTTGGCATCAGGGACAATTGTGATAACGGGGAGCGTCGGGACCCGCTTCGATGGCATCGCCGTTCGATCCTGAGCTCGGGAATACCCGGCAGCAGACTTGGACATGCCTCCTTCTGTTGTGCTATTGGTCTGAACGCTCCAGTATCACGAATGGGAATGCCAATCAAAGGCAAATCGAAGGCACGTCCTGCGGATTGTGAAGGCCAGTGTTCGGTTTGGTTTGGTATCTGAGCAGGCGGACTTCGCGCTGCGAACCTTCCACAGTGCGAAGCACTCCCGGCATAGGACAGTGAGTAATATTGACATGTATTCGAAAGACACCTGTGTAGATACCTTTAGGGGTGAGTTGAGCCAGGTGGTGCCGACCAAGTGGAGAAAGTAACCACAACAATGCTCATAACGGCGGCGGTAATCAATACGGAGCCACGTTTCGAGTGGAGACAAG